TCAGTGAGTGAGTCAGTGAGTGAGTGAGTGTGTGAGTCAGCGAGTGAGTGAGTGAGTGAGCGAGTGAGTTCGTGAGTCAGCGAGAGAGTGAGTCAGTGAGTGAGTGTGTGAGTCAGTGAGTGAGTGAGTGTGTGAGTCAGCGAGAGATGAGTGAGTCAGCGAGAGGGTGAGTGAGTCAGCGAGCGAGTCAGTCAGCGAGTGAGTCAGCGAGAGAGTGAGTAAGTGAGTGAGTCAGCGAGAGAGTGAGTCAGTGAGTGAGTGAGTGAGTCAGCGAGTGAGTCAGTGAGTGAGTGAGCGAGTCAGTGAGTGAGTCAGCGAGAGAGTGAGTCAGCGAGTGAGTGAGTGAGTGAGCGAGTGAGTGAGTGAGTGAGTCAGTGAGTGAGTCAGCGAGTGAGTGAGTCCGTGAGCGAGTGAGTGAGTGAGTGAGTCAGTGAGTGAGTGAGTGAGTCAGTGAGTGTGTGAGTCAGCGAGTGAGTGAGTCAGTGAGTGAGTCAGTGAGTGAGTGAGTCAGTGAGCGAGTGAGTGAGTGAGTGAGTCAGTGAGTGAGTCAGCGAGTGAGTGAGTCCGTGAGCGAGTGAGTGAGTGAGTGAGTCAGCGAGAGCGTGAGTGAGCGAGTGAGTGAGTCAGCGAGTGAGTGAGTGAGCGAGTCAGCGAGAGAGTGAGTGAGTCAGTGAGTGAGTGTGTGAGTCAATGAGTGAGTGAGTGAGTCAGTGAGTGAGTCAGCGAGTGAGTGAGTGAGTCAGCGAGTGAGTCAGTGAGTGAGTGAGCGAGTCAGTGAGTGAGTCAGCGAGAGAGTGAGTCAGCGAGTGAGTGAGTGAGTGAGCGAGTGAGTGAGTGAGTGAGTCAGTGAGTGAGTCAGCGAGTGAGTGAGTCCGTGAGCGAGTGAGTGAGTGAGTGAGTCAGTGAGTGAGTGAGTGAGTCAGTGAGTGTGTGAGTCAGCGAGTGAGTGAGTCAGTGAGTGAGTCAGTGAGTGAGTGAGTCAGTGAGCGAGTGAGTGAGTGAGTGAGTCAGTGAGTGAGTCAGCGAGTGAGTGAGTCCGTGAGCGAGTGAGTGAGTGAGTGAGTCAGCGAGAGCGTGAGTGAGCGAGTGAGTGAGTCAGCGAGTGAGTGAGTGAGCGAGTCAGCGAGAGAGTGAGTGAGTCAGTGAGTGAGTGTGTGAGTCAGTGAGTGAGTGAGTGAGTCAGTGAGTGAGTCAGCGAGTGAGTGAGTGAGTCAGCGAGTGAGTCAGCGAGAGAGTGAGTGAGTCAGTGAGTGAGCGAGTGAGTCAGTGAGTGAGTCAGTGAGTGAGTGAGTGAGTGTGTGAGTCAGTGAGTGAGTGAATGAGTGAGTCCGTGAGTCAGCGAGAGAGTCAGTGAGTGAGTGAGTGTGTGAGTCAGTGAGCAAGTGAGTGAGTGAGTGAGTCAGTGAGTCAGTGAGTGAGTGAGCGAGTCAGTCAGTGAGTCAGTGAGTGAGTCAGCGAGTGAGTGAGCGAGTCAGTCAGTGAGTCAGTGAGTGAGTCAGTGAGTGAGTGAGTGTGTGAGTCAGCGAGTGAGTGAGTGAGTGAGCGAGTGAGTTCGTGAGTCAGCGAGAGAGTGAGTGAGTCAGTGAGTGAGTGTGTGAGTCAGTGAGTGAGTGAGTGTGTGAGTCAGCGAGAGAGTGAGTGAGTCAGCGAGAGGGTGAGTGAGTCAGCGAGCGAGTCAGTCAGCGAGTGAGTCAGCGAGAGAGTGAGTAAGTGAGTGAGTCAGCGAGAGAGTGAGTCAGTGAGTGAGTGAGTCAGCGAGTGAGTCAGTGAGTGAGTGAGCGAGTCAGTGAGTGAGTCAGCGAGAGAGTGAGTCAGCGAGTGAGTGAGTGAGTGAGTGAGCGAGTGAGTGAGTGAGTGAGTCAGTGAGTGAGTGAGTGAGTCAGTGAGTGTGTGAGTCAGCGAGTGAGTGAGTCAGTGAGTGAGTCAGTGAGTGAGTGAGTCAGTGAGCGAGTGAGTGAGTGAGTGAGTCAGTGAGTGAGTCAGCGAGTGAGTGAGTCCGTGAGCGAGTGAGTGAGTGAGTGAGTCAGCGAGAGCGTGAGTGAGCGAGTGAGTGAGTCAGCGAGTGAGTGAGTGAGCGAGTCAGCGAGAGAGTGAGTGAGTCAGTGAGTGAGTGTGTGAGTCAGTGAGTGAGTGAGTGAGTCAGTGAGTGAGTCAGCGAGTGAGTGAGTGAGTCAGCGAGTGAGTCAGCGAGAGAGTGAGTGAGTCAGTGAGTGAGTCAGTGAGTGAGTCAGTGAGTGAGTGGGTGAGTGAGTCAGTGAGTGAGTCAGTGAGTCAGTGAGGGAGTGAGTGAGTGGGTGAGTGAGTGGGTGGGTGAGTGTGAGGGTGAGTGAGTGTGAGAGTGAGTGAGTCAGTGAGTGAGTGAGTCAGTGAGTGTGTGAGTGAGTGAGTCAGCGAGAGAGTGAATGAGTGGGTGAGTGAGTGGGTGAGTGAGTGAGTGAGTCAGTAAGTGAGTCCGTGAGTGGGTGAGTGAGTCAGTGAGTGAGTCAGTGAGTGAGTGTGTGAGTCAGCGAGTGAGTGAGCGAGTGAGTGAGTCCGTGAGTCAGCGAGAGAGTGAGTGAGTCAGTGAGTGAGTGTGTGAGTCAGTGAGTGAGTGAGTGTGTGAGTCAGCGAGAGAGTGAGTCAGCGAGAGAACGAGTGAGTCAGCGAGCGAGTCAGTCAGCGAGTGAGTCAGCGAGAGAGTGAGTGAGTCAGTGAGTGAGTGAGTCAGCGAGTGAGTCAGCGAGAGAGTGAGTGAGTCAGTGAGTGAGTGAGTCAGCGAGCGAGTCAGTCAGCGAGTGAGTCAGCGAGAGAGTGAGTGAGTCAGCGAGTGAGTCAGCGAGAGAGTGAGTCAGTGAGTGAGTGAGTCAGTGAGTGAGTCAGCGAGTGAGTGAGTCAGCGAAGAGTGAGTGAGTGAGTGAGTCCGTGAGTGGGTGAGTGAGTGAGTCAGTGAGTGAGTCAGCGAGCGAGTCAGTCAGCGAGTGAGTCAGTGAGTGAGTCAGCGAGTGAGTCAGCGAGAGAGTGAGTCAGTGAGCGAGTGAGTCAGTGAGTGAGTGAGTCAGTCAGCGAGTGAGTGTGCGAGTCAGTGAGTGTGTGAGTCAGCGAGTGAGTGAGTCAGTGAGTGAGTCAGTGAGTGAGTGAGTCAGTGAGCGAGTGAGTGAGTGAGTGAGTCAGTGAGTGAGTCAGCGAGTGAGTGAGTCCGTGAGCGAGTGAGTGAGTGAGTGAGTCAGTGAGTGCGTGAGTGAGCGAGTGAGTGAGTCAGCGAGTGAGTGAGTGAGCGAGTCAGCGAGAGAGTGAGTGAGTCAGTGAGTGAGTGTGTGAGTCAGTGAGTGAGTGAGTGAGTCAGTGAGTGAGTCAGCGAGTGAGTGAGTGAGTCAGCGAGTGAGTCAGCGAGAGAGTGAGTGAGTCAGTGAGTGAGTCAGTGAGTGAGTGAGTGAGTCCGTGAGTCAGTGAGTGAGTGAGCGAGTCAGTGAGTGAGTCAGCGAGAGAGTGAGTGAGCGAGTGAGTGAGTCAGCGAGTGAGTGAGTGAGCGAGTCAGCGAGAGAGTGAGTCAGTGAGCGAGTGAGTCAGTGAGTGAGCGAGTCAGTCAGTGAGTGAGTCAGCGAGTGAGTGAGTGAGTGAGTCAGTGAGTGAGTGAGTGAGCGAGTCCGTGAGTGGGTGAGTGAGTGAGTCAGTCAGCGAGTGAGTGAGTGAGTCAGTGAGTGAGTGAGTCAGCGAGAGAGTGAGTGAGTGAGTCAGTGAGTGAGTGAGTGAGCGAGTCCGTGAGTGGGTGAGTGAGTGAGTCAGTCAGTGAGCGAGTGAGTGAGTCAGCGAGAGAGTCAGTCAGCGAGTGAGTCAGTGAGTGAGTGAGTCAGCGAGTGAGTGAGTCAGTGAGTGAGTGAGTCAGTCAGCGAGTGAGTCAGTGAGTGAGTGAGTCCGTGAGCGAGTCAGCGAGAGAGTCAGTGAGTGAGCGAGTGAGTGAGTCAGCGAGTGAGTGAGTGAGTCAGTGAGTGAGTCAGTGAGTGAGTGAGTGAGTGTGTGAGTCAGTGAGTGAGTGAGTGAGTCAGTGAGTGAGCGAGTGAGTGAGTCAGCGAGAGAGTCAGTCAGCGAGTGAGTCAGTGAGTGAGTGAGTCAGCGAGTGAGTGAGTCAGTGAGTGAGTGAGTCAGTCAGCGAGTGAGTCAGTGAGTGAGTGAGTCCGTGAGCGAGTCAGCGAGAGAGTCAGTGAGTGAGCGAGTGAGTGAGTCAGCGAGTGAGTGAGTGAGTCAGTGAGTGAGTCAGTGAGTGAGTGAGTGAGTGTGTGAGTCAGTGAGTGAGTGAGTGAGTCAGTGAGTGAGCGAGTGAGTGAGTCAGCGAGAGAGTCAGTCAGCGAGTGAGTCAGTGAGTGAGTGAGTCAGCGAGTGAGTGAGTCAGTGAGTGAGTGAGTCAGTCAGCGAGTGAGTCAGTGAGTGAGTGAGTCAGTGAGCGAGTCAGCGAGAGAGTCAGTGAGTGAGCGAGTGAGTGAGTCAGCGAGTGAGTGAGTGAGTCAGTGAGTGAGTCAGTGAGTGAGTGAGTGAGTGTGTGAGTCAGTGAGTGAGTGAGTGAGTCAGTGAGTGAGCGAGTGAGTGAGTCAGCGAGTGAGTCAGTGAGTCAGTGAGTGAGTGTGTGAGTCAGTGAGTGAGTGAGTGAGTCAGTGAGTGAGTGTGTGAGTCAGTGAGTGAGTGAGTGAGTCAGTGAGTGAGCGAGTGAGTGAGTCAGCGAGAGAGTGAGTCAGTCAGCGAGTGAGTGAGTGAGTCAGTGAGTGAGTGAGTCAGTCAGTGAGTGAGTGAGTCAGCGAGTGAGTGAGTGAGTGAGTCAGTGAGTGAGCGAGTGAGTGAGTGAGTCAGTCAGTCAGTCAGTGAGTGAGTGAGTCAGTCAGCGAGTGAGTGAGTCAGTGAGTCAGTCAGTGAGTGAGTGAGTCAGTCAGCGAGTGAGTGAGTGAGTCAGTGAGTGAGTCAGCGAGGGAGTGAGTCAGTGAGTGAGTGAGTCAGCGAGTGAGTCAGCGAGTGAGTCAGCCCGGGTGTCTCACCTCCACGAACCCTGACAGTGGGAAGTCCTTGCGGAAGGGGTGTCCTTGGAATCCGTAGTCGGTGAGGATGCGACGGAGATCCGGGTGGGCGGCAAAGAACACACCAAACATATCCCACACCTGCACACACGCACAGGGTGAGCGTGGGGGGTGAGGTGAGAGAGGGTGAGCTGGTGAGCTGGTGAGTTGGTGAGCTGGTGAGCTGGTGAACTGGTGAGTTGGTGAGCTGGTGAGTTGGTGAACTGGTGAGTTGGTGAGCTGGTGAGCTGGTGAGGTGAGCGCGGGGGGTGAGGTGAGAGAGGGTGAGCTGGTGAGTTGGTGAGCTGGTGAGCTGGTGAGCTGGTGAGGTGGTGAACTGGTGAGTCGGTGAGTCGGTGAGCTGGTGAATCGGTGAGTTGGTGAGTCGGTGAGCTGGTGAGTCGGAGAGTAGGTGAGCTGGTGAATAAGTGAGTTGGTGAGCAGGTGAGTTGGTGAGTAGGTGAGCTGATGAACTGGTGAGTTGATGAGATTGTAAGTTGGTGAGCTGGTGAGCTGGTGAGTAGGTGAGCTGGTGAGTTGGTGAGCTGGTGAGCTGGTGAGTCGGTGAGCCGGTGAGTTGGTGAGCTGGTGAGTCGGTGAGCCGGTGAGTAGGTGAGTTGGTGAGCTGGTGAGCTGGTGAGTAGGTAAGCTGGTGAGCTGGTGAGTTGGTGAGCTGGTGAGTAGGTGAGTTGGTGAGCTGGTGAGTAGGTAAGCTGGTGAGTTGGTGAGCTGGTGAGCTGGTGAGTAGGTAAGCTGGTGAGTCGGTGAGTAGGTGAGTTGATGAGGTGCTGAGCTGGTGAGTTGGTGAGTCGGTGAGTAGGTGAGCTGGTGAGTTGGTGAGCTGGTGAGTTGGTAAGTTGGTGAGCTGGTGAATAGGTGAGCTGGTGAGCTGGTGAGTTGGAGAGTAGGTGAGCTGGTGAATAAGTGAGTTGGTGAGCTGGTGAGGTGAGCTGGTGAGTTGATGAGGTGGTGAGCTGGTGAGTCGGTGAGCTGGTGAGTCGGTGAGCTGGTGAGTCGGTGAGCTGGTGAGTTGATGAGATGGTGAGTAGGTGAGCTGGTGAGCTGGTGAGTTGGTCAGTAGGTGAGCTGGTGAGTCGGTGAGCTGGTGAGGTGAGCTGGTGAGTTGATGAGGTGGTGAGCTGGTGAGTCGGTGAGCTGGTGAGTCGGTGAGCTGGTGAGCTGGTGAGTTGGTGAGCTGGTGAGCAGGTGAGTTGGTGAGCTGGTGAGTCGGTGAGCTGGTGAGCGGCATGCGGGCGAGCTGGTGAGCAGGTGAGTTGGTGAGCTGGTGAGCTGGTGAGCGGCGTGCGGGCGAGCTGGTGAGCTGGTGAGTGGCGTGCTGGTGAGTAGGTGAGCTGGTGAGCTGGTGAGCGGCGTGCAGGCGAGCTGGTGAGGTGAGCTGGTGAGCTGGTGAGCGGGTGAGCGGCCTGCGGGTGAGCTGGTGAGCTGGTGAACTGGTGAGTAGGTGAGCTGGTGAGCTGGTGAGCTGGTGAGTAGGTGAGCTGGTGAGCTGGCGTGCGGGTGAGCTGGTGAGCTGGTGAGCTGGTGAGTAGGTGAGCTGGTGAGTAGGTGAGCTGGTGAGCTGGTCAGCTGGTGAGTCGGTGAGCTGGTGAGTAGGTGAGCTGGTGAGCTGGTGAGTAGGTGAGTAGGTGAGCTGGTGAGCTGGTGAGCAGGTGAGTAGGTGAGCTGGTGAGCTGGTGAGTAGGTGAGTAGGTGAGCTGGTGAGCTGGTGAATAGGTGAGCTGGTGAGTTGGAGAGTAGGTGAGCTGGTGAATAAGTGAGTTGGTGAGCTGGTGAGGTGAGCTGGTGAGTTGATGAGGTGGTGAGCTGGTGAGTCGGTGAGCTGGTGAGTCGGTGAGCTGGTGAGTCGGTGAGCTGGTGAGTTGATGAGATGGTGAGTAGGTGAGCTGGTGAGCTGGTGAGTTGGTCAGTAGGTGAGCTGGTGAGTCGGTGAGCTGGTGAGGTGAGCTGGTGAGTTGATGAGGTGGTGAGCTGGTGAGTCGGTGAGCTGGTGAGTCGGTGAGCTGGTGAGCTGGTGAGTTGGTGAGCTGGTGAGCAGGTGAGTTGGTGAGCTGGTGAGCGGCATGCGGGCGAGCTGGTGAGCAGGTGAGTTGGTGAGCTGGTGAGCTGGTGAGCGGCGTGCGGGCGAGCTGGTGAGCTGGTGAGTGGCGTGCTGGTGAGCTGGTGAGTAGGTGAGCTGGTGAGTAGGTGAGCTGGTGAGCTGGTGAGCGGCGTGCAGGCGAGCTGGTGAGGTGAGCTGGTGAGCTGGTGAGCTGGTGAGCGGGTGAGCGGCGTGCGGGTGAGCTGGTGAGCTGGTGAACTGGTGAGTAGGTGAGCTGGTGAGCTGGTTAGCTGGTGAGTAGGTGAGCTGGTGAGCTGGCGTGCGGGTGAGCTGGTGAGCTGGTGAGCTGGTGAGTAGGTGAGCTGGTGAGTAGGTGAGCTGGTGAGCTGGTGAGTAGGTGAGTAGGTGAGCTGGTGAGCTGGTGAGTAGGTGAGTAGGTGAGCTGGTGAGCTGGTCAGCTGGTGAGTCGGTGAGCTGGTGAGTAGGTGAGCTGGTGAGCTGGTGAGTAGGTGAGTAGGTGAGCTGGTGAGTAGGTGAGTAGGTGAGCTGGTGAGCTGGTGAGCAGGTGAGTAGGTGAGCTGGTGAGCTGGTGAGTAGGTGAGTAGGTGAGCTGGTGAGCTGGTGAGTAGGTGAGTAGGTGAGCTGGTGAGCAGGTGAGTAGGTGAGCTGGTGAGCTGGTGAGTAGGTGAGTAGGTGAGCTGGTGAGCTGGTGAGTAGGTGAGTAGGTGAGCTGGTGAGCTGGTGAGTAGGTGAGTAGGTGAGCTGGTGAGCTGGTGAGTAGGTGAGTAGGTGAGCTGGTGAGTAGGTGAGTAGGTGAGCTGGTGAGCTGGTGAGTAGGTGAGCTGGTGAGTAGGTGAGCGGCGTGCGGGTGAGCTGGTGAGCTGGTGAGCAGGTGAGCTGGTGAGTAGGTGAGTAGGTGAGCGGCGTGCAGGCGAGCTGGTGAGTAGGTGAGCTGGTGAGCTGGTGAGCTGGTGAGTAGGTGAGCGGCGTGCGGGCGAGCTGGTGAGCTGGTGAGTTGATGAGCTGGTGAGTAGGTGAGCGGCGAGCTGGTGAGCTGGTGAGCGGCGTGCGGGTGAGCTGGTGAGTAGGTGAGCTGGTGAGCTGGCGAGCTGGTGAGCTGGTGAGCTGGCGAGCTGGTGAGCTGGTGAGTGGCGTGCGGGTGAGCTGGTGAGTAGGTGAGCTGGTGAGTAGGTGAGCTGGTGAGCTGGTGAGTGGCGTGTGGGTGAGCTGGTGAGCTGGTGAGTAGGTGAGCGGCGTGCAGGCGAGCTGGTGAGCTGATGAGTTGGTGAGTCGGTGAGCTGGCGAGCTGGCGAGCTGGCGAGCTGGTGAGCTGGTGAGCTGGTGAGCAGGTGAGTTGGTGAGCTGGTGAGCGGCGTGCGGGCGAGCTGGTGAGCTGGTGAGCGGCGTGCAGGTGAGCAGGTGAGCTGGTGAGCTGGTGAGCGGCGTGCAGGTGAGCTGGTGAGCTGGTGAGCGGCGTGCGGGCGAGCTGGTGAGCTGGTGAGCTGGTGAGCGGCGTGCTGGTGAGCTGGTGAGCGGCGTGCGGGCGAGCTGGTGAGTCGGTGAGCTGGTGAGCTGGTGAGTTGGTGAGCTGGTGAGCAGGTGAGTTGGTGAGCTGGTGAGTCGGTGAGCTGGTGAGCGGCATGCGGGCGAGCTGGTGAGCAGGTGAGTTGGTGAGCTGGTGAGCTGGTGAGCGGCGTGCGGGCGAGCTGGTGAGCTGGTGAGCTGGTGAGCGGCGTGCGGGCGAGCTGGTGAGCTGGTGAGCTGGTGAGCTGGTGAGCGGCGTGCTGGTGAGCTGGTGAGCTGGTGAGCGGCGTGCGGGCGAGCTCACCTCCCTCTCGTACCAGGTGAGTAGGTGAGCTGGTGAGCTGGTGAGCTGGTGAGCTGGTGAGTTGGTGAGCTGGTGAGCTGGTGAGCTGGTGAGCTGGTGAGTTGGTGAGCTGGTGAGCTGGTGAGCTGGTGAGCTGGTGAGCTGGTGAGTTGGTGAGCTGGTGAGCTGGTGAGCTGGTGAGTTGGTGAGCTGGTGAGCTGGTGAGCTGGCGTGCGGGCGAGCTGGTGAGCTGGTGAGTAGGTGAGCTGGTGAGCTGGTGAGCTGGTGAGCTGGTGAGTTGGTGAGCTGGCGTGCGGGTGAGCTGGTGAGCTGGTGAGCGGCGTGCGGGTGAGTAGGTGAGCTGGTGAGCGGCGTGCGGGCGAGCTGGTGAGCTGGTGAGCTGGCGAGCTGGTGAGCTGGTGAGCTGGTGAGCTGGCGAGCTTGCGAGCGAGCTGGTGAGTGAGTGAGCTGGTGAGCGGCGAGCTGGTGAGCTGGTGAGCTGGCGAGCGGGTGAGCTGGTGAGCTGGTGAGCTGGTGAGCTGGTGAGCTGGTGAGCGGCGTGCGGGCGAGCTGGTGAGCTGGTGAGCGGCGTGCGGGCGAGCTCACCTCCCTCTCGTACCAGGTGAGTAGGTGAGCTGGTGAGCTGGTGAGCTGGTGAGTTGGTGAGCTGGTGAGCTGGTGAGCTGGTGAGTTGGTGAGCTGGTGAGCTGGTGAGCTGGCGAGCTGGTGAGCTGGTGAGTTGGTGAGCTAGTGAGCTGGTGAGCTGGTGAGCTGGTGAGCTGGTGAGCTGGTGAGCGGCGTGCGGGCGAGCTGGTGAGCTGGTGAGCTGGTGAGCTGGTGAGCTGGTGAGTAAGCGAGCTGGTGAGCTGGTGAGCTGGTGAGCTGGCGAGCTGGTGAGCTGGTGAGCGGCGTGCGGGCGAGCTCACCTCCCTCTCGTACCAGTCGGCTGCCTTGTGCACGCCACAGAGTGAGTCGAGCGGCGTCAGCTCGTCGCAGTACGTCTTCACCCGCAGTCTGGCGTTGAAACGCACTGACAGCAGGTTGTACACCACCTGGTGGGCGGGGTCACACCGTCGTCACGTGGGGTGGGCGGGGTCACACCGTCGTCACGTGGGGTGGGTGTGGTCACGTGGGGTGTGTGGTCACGTGGTGTGTGTGTGTGTGGTGGGTGTGTGGTCACGTGGGGTGTGTGTGTGGGCACGTGGTGTGTGTGTGTGGGGGTGTGTGTGTGTGTGTGGGCACGTGGGGTGTGTGTGTGTGGTCACGTGGTGTGTGTGTGTGGTCACGTGGTGTGTGTGTGTGTGGGCACGTGGTGGGTGTGTGTGGTCACGTGGTGTGTGTGTGTGTGTGTGGTCACGTGGTGTGTGTGTGTGTGTGGTCACGTGGTGTGTGTGTGTGGGCACGTGGTGTGTGTGTGTGTGTGTGTGTTCACGGGGTGTGTGTGTGTTTGTGGGGTGTGTGTGTGTGTGTGTGGGCACGTGGTGTGTGTGTGTGTGTGTGGGTGTGTGTGTGTGTGGGCACGTGGGGTGTGTGTGTGTGTGGGCACGTGGGGTGTGTGTGTGTGTTCACGGTGTGTGTGTGTGGGCACGTGGTGTGTGTGTGTGTGGTCACGTGGTGTGTGTGTGTGTGGGTGTGGGCACGTGGTGTGTGTGTGTGTGTGGGCACGTGGGGTGTGTGTGTGTGTGGTCACGTGGGGTGTGTGTGTGTGTGGGCACGTGGTGTGTGTGTGTGTGGTCACGTGGTGTGTGTGTGTGTGTGGGCACGTGGTGGGTGTGTGTGTGGGCACGTGGTGTGTGTGTGTGTGTGTGGGTACGTGGGGTGTGTGTGTGTGGTCACGTGGTGTGTGTGTGTGTGTGGGTGGGCACGTGGGGTGTGTGTGTGTGGGCACGTGGGGTGTGTGTGTGGGCACGTGGTGTGTGTGTGTGTGGGCACGTGGTGTGTGTGTGTGTGGGCACGTGAGGTGTGTGTGTGTGTGGTCACGTGGTGTGTGTGTGTGTGGTCACGTGGGGTGTGGGTGTGGTCACGTGGGGTGTGTGTGTGGTGTCACGTGGGGTGTGTGTGTGTGGTCACGTGGTGTGTGTGTGTGTGGGCACGTGGTGTGTGTGTGTGTGGTCACGTGGTGTGTGTGTGTGTGTGGGCACGTGGTGTGTGTGTGTGTGGTCACGTGGTGTGTGTGTGTGGGCACGTGGGGTGTGTGGGCACGTGGTGTGTGTGTGTGTTGGCACGTGGTGTGTGTGTGTGTGTGGTCACGTGGTGTGTGTGGGCACGTGGGGTGTGTGTGTGTGTGGTGTGTGTGTGTGGGCACGTGGGGTGTGTGTGTGTGTGTGGTCACGTGTGTGTGTGTGTGGTCACGTGGGGTGTGTGTGTGTGGGCACGTGGTGTGTGTGTGTGTGGGCACGTGGTGTGTGTGGGCACGTGGTGTGTGTGTGTGTGTGGTCACGTGGGGTGTGTGTGTGTGTGGGCACGTGGTGTGTGTGTGTGTGTGGTCACGTGGTGTGTGTGTGTGTGGTGGGTGTGTGTGTGTGTGGGCACGTGGGGTGTGTGTGTGTGTGGTCACGTGGGGTGTGTGTGTGGTCACGTGGTGTGTGTGTGTGTGGGCACGTGGGGTGTGTGTGTGGGCACGTGGGGTGTGTGTGTGTGTGTGTGTGGTCACGTGGTGTGTGTGTGTGTGTGGTCACGTGGTGTGTGTGTGTGTGGTCACGTGGTGTGTGTGTGTGTGGGCACGTGGGGTGTGTGTGTGTGTGTGGGCACGTGGGGTGTGTGTGTGTGTGTGTGGTCACGTGGTGTGTGTGTGTGGGCACGTGGGGTGTGTGTGTGTGGTGTGTGTGTGTGTGTGGGCACGTGGTGTGTGTGTGGGCACGTGGTGTGTGTGTGTGTGTGTGGGCACGTGGGGTGTGTGTGTGGTCACGTGGTGTGTGTGTGTGTGGGCACGTGGTGTGTGTGTGTGTGTGGGCACGTGGTGTGTGTGTGTGTGTATGGTCACGTGGTGTGTGTGTGTGTGGGTACGTGGGGTGTGTGTGTGTGTGTGTGTGGGCACGTGGGGTGTGTGTGTGTGTGTGGGCACGTGGGATGTGTGTGTGGGCACGTGGTGTGTGTGTGTGTGGGGTCACGTGGTGTGTGTGTGTGGGCACGTGGTGTGTGTGTGTGTGTGGTGTGTGTGTGTGTGTGTGGTCACGTGGTGTGTGTGTGTGTGTGTGGGCACGTGGTATGTGTGGGCACGTGGGGTGTGTGTGTGTGTGGTCACGTGAGGTGTGTGTGTGTGTGTGTGGGCACGTGGGGTGTGTGTGTGGGTACGTGGTGTGTGTGGTCACGGTGTGTGTGTGTGTGGTGACAGGGTGTGTGTGTGTGTTCACGGTGTGTGTGTGTGTTCACGGTGTGTGTGTGTTCACGGTGTGTTCACGGTGTGTGTGTGTTCACGGTGTGTGTGTGTGTTCACGGTGTGTGTGTGTTCACGGTGTGTTCACGGTGTGTGTGTGTTCACGGTGTGTGTGTGTGTTCACGGTGTGTGTGTGTGTTCACGGTGTGTGTGTGTTCACGGTGTGTGTGTGTGTGTTACGGTGTGTGTGTGTGTGTTCACGGTGTGTGTGTGTTCACGGGGTGTGGGTGTGTGTGTGTTCACGGTGTGTGTGTGTCTGTTCACGGTGTGTGTGTGTGTTCACGGTGTGTGTGTGTGTTCACGGTGTGTGTGTGTTCACGGTGTGTTTACGGTGTGTGTGTGTGTTCACGGTGTGTGTGTGTTCACGGTGTGTGTGTGTGTGTGTCACGGTGTGTGTGTGTTCACGGTGTGTGTGTGTGTTCACGGTGTGTGTGTGTGTTCACGGTGTGTGTGTGTGTGTTCACGGTGTGTGTGTGTGTGTGTTCACGGTGTGTGTGTGTGTGTTCATGGTGTGTGTTCACGGTGTGTGTGTTCACACGGTGTGTGTGTGTGTGTCACGGTGTGTGTGTGTTCACGGTGTGTGTGTGTGTTCACGGTGTGTGTGTGTGTTCACGGTGTGTGTGTGTTCACGGTGTGTTCACGGTGTGTGTGTGTTCACGGTGTGTGTGTGTGTGTGTTCACGGTGTGTGTGTGTTCACGGTGTGTTCACGGTGTGTGTGTGTGTTCACGGTGTGTGTGTGTTCACGGTGTGTGTGTGTTCACGGTGTGTTCACGGTGTGTGTGTGTTCACGGTGTGTGTGTGTGTTCACGGTGTGTGTGTGTGTGTGTGTGTCACGGTGTGTGTGTGTCACGGTGTGTGTGTGTGTTCACGGTGTGTGTGTGTGTGTTCACGGTGTGTGTGTGTTCACGGTGTGTGTGTGTGTTCACACGGTGTGTGTGTTCACGGTGTGTTCACTGTGTGTGTGTGTGTCACGGTGTGTGTGTGTGTTCACGGTGTGTGTGTGTTCACACGGTGTGTGTGTTCACGGTGTGTTCACGGGGTGTGTGTGTTCACGGTGTGTGTGTGTGTTCACGGTGTGTGTGTGTCACGGTGTGTGTGTGTTCACGGTGTGTGTGTGTGTTCACGGTGTGTGTGTGTGTTCACGGGGTGTGTGTGTTCACGGTGTGTGTGTGTGTGTGTCACGGTGTGTGTGTGTTCACGGTGTGTGTGTGTGTTCACGGTGTGTGTGTGTGTCACGGTGTGTGTGTGTGTTCACGGTGTGTGTGTTCACGGTGTGTTCACGGTGTGTGTGTGTGTCACGGTGTGTGTGTGTGTTCACGGTGTGTGTGTGTTCACACGGTGTGTGTGTGTGTTCACACGGTGTGTGTGTTCACGGTGTGTTCACGGGGTGTGTGTGTTCACGGTGTGTGTGTGTTCACGGTGTGTGTGTGTTCACGGTGTGTGTGTGTCACGGTGTGTGTGTGTTCACGGTGTGTGTGTGTGTTCACACGGTGTGTGTGTTCACACGGTGTGTGTGTTCACGGTGTGTGTTCACGGTGTGTGTGTGTGTTCACGGTGTGTGTGTGTGTCACGGTGTGTGTGTGTTCACGGTGTGTGTGTGTTCACGGTGTGTGTGTGTGTTCACGGGGTGTGTGTGTGTGTTCACACGGTGTGTGTGTTCACGGTGTGTTCATGGTGTGTGTGTGTTCACGGTGTGTTCACGGTGTGTGTGTTCACGGTGTGTTCATGGTGTGTGTGTGTTCACGGTGTGTTCATGGTGTGTGTGTGTTCACGGTGTGTTCACGGTGTGTGTGTGTTCACGGTGTGTTCACGGTGTGTGTGTTCACGGTGTGTGCGTGTTCACGGTGTGTGTGTGTGTTCATGGTGTGTGTGTGTGTGTGTGTTCACACGGTGTGTGTGTGTGTGTTCACGGTGTGATCACCTCAAAGCGGTGTGTGTGTGTTCACGGTGTGTGTGTGTTCACACGGTGTGTGTGTGTGTGTGTGTTCACGGTGTGATCACCTCAAAGCGGTGTGTGTGTGTTCACGGTGTGTGTGTGTTCACACGGTGTGTGTGTGTGTGTGTTCACGGTGTATGTGTTCACACGGTGTGTGTGTGTGTGTTCACGGTGTGTGTCACGGTGTGTGTGTGTGTCACGGTGTGTGTGTGTTCACGGTGTGTGTGTGTTCACGGTGTGTGTGTGTTCACTGTGTGTGTGTGTGTGTCACGGTGTGTGTCACGGTGTGTGTGTGTTCACGGTGTGTGTGTGTGTGTGTTCATGGTGTGTGTTCACGGTGTGTGTCTCGGTGTGTGTGTGTTCACGGTGTGTGTCTCGGTGTGTGTGTGTTCACGGTGTGTGTGTGTGTGTGTGTTCATGGTGTGTGTTCACGGTGTGTGTCACGGTGTGTGTGTGTGTCACGGTGTGTGTGTGTGTGTTCACGGTGTGATCACCTCAAAGCGGTGTGTGCGTGTGGGCACATCGATCCCGGTGAGATCCGTGAGGTTGGTGAATTGGGCGTTGGTGTGGTCGTTGAGAAAGCTGATGACAGGCACAACTCCCTCGGGGTGGATCAGCAGTTCCAGCTCGTTCTGACTCGTCACCTGCAGCAGCAGCAGCAGCATCAGCAGCATCATCATCAGCATCAGCAGCATCATCATCATCAGCAGCAGCATCATCATCATCATCATCAGCAGCATCATCATTAGCAGCATTATCATCATCAGCTGCAGCAGCAGCATCATCAGCAGCATCATCATCATCATTACCAGCAGCAGCATCATCATCATCAGCAGCATCATCATCATCATTACCAGCAGCAGCATCATCATCATCAGCAGCATCATCATCATCAGCAGCAGCATCATCAGCAGCAGCATCATTAGCAGCATCAGCAGCAGCATCATCATCATCAGCAGCATCATCATCAGCATCATAGCCATCATCAGCAGTACCATCAGCATCATTTTCATCAGTAGCATCATCATTATCAGCAGCATCTCTGCGAGTACCTGTGAGTTCCTGAGTGCCAGTGTGAGTACCAGTGTGAGTTCCTGTGAGTACCAGTGTGAGTACCAGTGTGAGTACCAGTGTGAGTTCCTGAGTGCCAGTGTGAGTACCTGTGAGTTCCTGTGGGTAGCAGTGTGAGTACCAGTGTGAGTTCCTGTGGGTAGCAGTGTGAGTACCTGTGAGTTCCTGTGGGTAGCAGTGTGAGTACCAGTGTGAGTACCTGTGGGTAGCAGTGTGAGTACCAGTGTGAGTACCTGAGTACCAGTGTGAGTACCTGTGTGAGTTCCTGTGGGTAGCAGTGTGAGTACCAGTGTGAGTTCCTGTGTGCCAGTGTGAGTACCTGTGAGTACCTGTGAGTAGCAGCGTGAGTACCAGTGTGAGTTCCTGAGTGCCAGTGTGAGTACCTGTGTGAGTTCCTGTGGGTAGCAGTGTGAGTACCTGTGAGTTCCTGAGTGCCAGTGTGAGTACCAGTGTGAGTACCTGTGAGTTCCTGTGGGTAGCAGTGTGAGTTTCTGTGAGTTCCTGAGTGCCAGTGTGAGTACCTGTGAGTACCTGTGAGTAGCAGTGTGAGTACCTGTGAGTTCCTGAGTACCAGTGTGAGTACCTGAGTACCAGTGTGAGTACCTGTGAGTACCTGTGAGTACCAGTGTGAGTACCTGAGTACCAGTGTGAGTACCTGTGAGTAGCAGTGTGAGTAGCAGTGTGAGTACCTGAGTAGCAGTGTGAGTACCTGTGGGTAGCAGTGTGAGTACCAGTGTGAGTTCCTGAGTAGCAGTGTGAGTACCTGTGAGTTCCTGTGGGTAGCAGTGTGAGTACCTGTGTGAGTACCTGAGTACCAGTGTGAGTACCTGTGAGTACCTGTGAGTAGCAGTGTGAGTACCAGTGTGAGTACCTGAGTAGCAGTGTGAGTACCTGTGAGTTCCTGAGTGCCAGTGTGAGTACCTGTGAGTTTCTGTGAGTACCAGTGTGAGTACCAGTGTGAGTTCCTGAGTGCCAGTGCGAGTACCAGTGTGAGTTCCTGTGAGTATCAGAATGAGTTCCTGAGTACCTGTGAGTACCTTTGCGAGTATGTACCCGTAGCTGTGAGTAGCAGCGTGAGTACCAGTGTGAGTACCTGAGTACCAGTGTGAGTACCTGTGAGTAGCAGTGTGAGTCCCTGAGTACCTGTGAGTAGCAGTGTGAGTACCAGTGTGAGTACCTGAGTACCAGTGTGAGTACCTGTGAGTAGCAGCGTGAGTACCAGTGTGAGTACCTGTGAGTAGCAGTGTGAGTAGCAGTGTGAGTCCCTGAGTACCTGTGAGTACCAGTGTGAGTACGTACCTGTAGCTGTGAGTAGAAGTGTGAGTACCAGTGTGAGTACCTGAGTACCAGTGTGAGTACCTGTGAGTACCAGTGTGAGTACCTGTGAGTAGCAGTGTGAGTAGCAGTGTGAGTCCCTGAGTACCTGTGAGTACCAGTGTGAGTACGTACCTGTAGCTGTGAGTAGCAGCGTGAGTACCAGTGTGAGTACCTGTGAGTAGCAGTGTGAGTAGCAGTGTGAGTACCTGAGTAGCAGTGTGAGTACCTGTGAGTAGCAGTGTACCAGTGTGAGTACCTGAGTAGCAGTGTGAGTCCCTGAGTACCTGTGAGTACCAGTGCGAGTACGTAGCTGTGAGTACCTGTGAATCCCTGAGTACCAGTATGAGTCCCTGAGTACCTATGTGAGTCCCTGAGTAGGTGTGAGTCCCAGTGTGAGTACCTGAGTAGGTGTACCAGTGTGAGTACCTGTGAGTACCTGTGTCAGTCCCTGAGTAGGAGTGAGTACCAGTGTGAGTACCTGTGAGTACCTGTGTCAGTCCCTGAGTAGGTGTGAGTACCTGTGTCAGTCCCTGAGTAGGAGTGAGTACCAGTGTGAGTACCAGTGTGAGTACCTGTGAGTACCTGTGTCAGTCCCTGGGTAGATGTGAGTACCAGTGTGAGTCCCTGTGTCAGTCCCTGAGTAGGAGTACCAGTGTGAGTACCTGTGAGTACCTGTGTAAGTCCCTGAGTAGGTGTGAGTACCAGTGTGAGTACCTGTGTCAGTCCCTGAGTAGGTGTACCAGTGTGAGTACCTCTGAGTACCTGTGTGAGTGTGAGTACCTGTGTGAGTGTGAGTACCTGTGGGTACCAGTGTGAATACCAGTGTGAGTACCAGTGTGAGTACCTGTGTGAGTGTGAGTACCTGTGCCTGCTGCACGTACTTGGGCAGGATCTCCGCCACTTACTCCCTGAGTACCTGTGTGAGTGTGAGTACCTGTGTGAGTACCTGTGTGTGAGTACCTGTGAGTACCTGTGTGAGTGTGAGTACCTGTGCCTGCTGCACGTACTTGGGCAGGATCTCTGCCACGTACTCCCTGAGTACCTGTGAGTACCTGTGAGTACCTGTGTGAGTGTGAGTACCTGTGAGTACCAGTGTGAGTACCAGCGTGAGTACCTGTGCCTGCTGCACGTACTTGGGCAGGATCTCTGCCACGTACTCCCTGAGTACCAGTGTGAGTACCTGCGTGAGTGTGAGTACTTGTGAGTACCTGTGTGAGTGTGAGTACCTGTGTGAGTACCAGCGTGAGTACTTGTGAGTACCTGCGTGAGTGTGAGTACCTGTGAGTACCTGTGTGAGTACCAGTGTGAGTACCAGCGTGAGTACCTGTGCCTGCTGCACGTACTTGGGCAGGATCTCTGCCACGTACTCTCCGAAGGTCGCCAGCTTGGTCCGCTCCCCAACATCCACAGGGCGCACAGTAGCTGTGAAGACAGCATGGCTAGAGTAGCTGTAGTAGTGGGGGGGTGGGTGGGGGGGTGAGTGGGGGGGTGAGTGGGGGGGGTGAGTGGGGGGGTGAGTGGGGGGGTGGGTGAGTGGGTGAGTGGGTGAGTGAGTGAGTGGGTGAGTGTGTGGGTGAGTGAGTGGGTGAGTGAGTGGGTGAGTGAGTGGGTGAGTGTGTGGGTGAGTGAGTGGGTGAGTGAGTGGGTGAGTGTGTAGGTGAGTGAGTGAGTGGGTGAGTGTGTGGGTGAGTGTGTGGGTGAGTGAGTGGGTGAGTGAGTGGGTGAGTGTGTAGGTGAGTGAGTGAGTGGGTGAGTGAGTGGGTGAGTGGGGGGTGAGTGGGGGTGAGCGAAGGTCGCCAGCTTGGTCCGCTCCCCAACATCCACAGGGCGCACAGTAGCTGTGAAGACAGCATGGCTAGAGTAGCTGTAGTAGTGGGGGGGTGAGTGGGGGGGTGAGTGGGGGGGTGGGTGGGGGGGTGAGTGGGGGGGTGAGTGGGGGGGTGGGTGAGTGGGTGAGTGGGTGAGTGAGTGAGTGGGTGAGTGTGTGGGTGAGTGAGTGGGTGAGTGAGTGGGTGAGTGAGTGGGTGAGTGTGTGGGTGAGTGAGTGGGTGAGTGAGTGGGTGAGTGTGTAGGTGAGTGAGTGAGTGGGTGAGTGTGTGGGTGAGTGTGTGGGTGAGTGAGTGGGTGAGTGAGTGGGTGAGTGTGTAGGTGAGTGAGTGAGTGGGTGAGTGAGTGGGTGAGTGGGGGGTGAGTGGGGGTGAGCGAAGGTCGCCAGCTTGGTCCGCTCCCCAACATCCACAGGGCGCACAGTAGCTGTGAAGACAGCATGGCTAGAGTAGCTGTAGTAGTGGGGGGGGGGGGGGGTGGGGGGGTGAGTGGGGGGGTGAGTGGGGGGGTGAGTGGGTGAGTGGGGGGGTGAGTGGGTGAGTGAGTGAGTGGGTGAGTGAGTGGGTGAGTGAGAGAGTGGGTGAGTGAGAGAGTGGGTGAGTGGGTGAGTGAGTGAGTGGGTGAGTGGGTGAGTGAGTGGGTGAGTGAGTGGGTGAGTGGGTGAGTGAGAGAGTGGGTGAGTGGGTGAGTGAGTGAGTGGGTGAGTGAGTGAGTGGGTGAGTGGGTGAGTGAGTGGGTGTGTGAGTGAGTGGGTGAGTGGGTGAGTGAGTGGGTGAGTGAGTGGGTGAGTGGGTGAGTGAGAGAGTGGGTGAGTGGGTGAGTGAGTGAGTGGGTGAGTGGGTGAGTGTGTGAGTGAGTGGGTGAGTGAGTGGGTGAGTGGGTGAGTGATGGGTGAGTGAGTGGGTGAGTGGGTGAGTGAGTGGGTGAGTGGGTGAGTGGGTGAGTGAGTGGGTGAGTGAGTGGGTGAGTGGGTGAGTGATGGGTGAGTGAGTGGGTGAGTGGGTGAGTGAGTGGGTGAGTGAGTGGGTGAGTGAGAGAGTGGGTGTGTGAGTGGGTGAGTGAGTGGGTGAGTGAATGGGTGAGTGAGTGGGGGTGAGCGAAGGTCGCCAGCTTGGTCCGCTCCCCAACATCCACAGGGCGCACAGTAGCTGTGAAGACAGCATGGCTAGAGTAGCTGTAGTAGTGGGGGGGTGAGTGGGGGGGTGAGTGGGGGGGTGGGTGGGGGGGTGAGTGGTGAGTGAGTGAGTGAGTGGGGGGGTGAGTGGGGGGGTGAGTGGGGGGGTGAGTGGGGGGGTGAGTGGGGGGGTGAGTGGGGGGGTGAGTGAGTGAGTGGGTGAGTGAGTGGGTGAGTGGGTGAGTGAGTGTGTGGGTGAGTGGGTGAGTGAGTGGGTGTGTGAGTGAGTGGGTGAGTGGGTGAGTGTGTGAGTGTGTGGGTGAGTGAGTGGGTGAGTGGGTGTGTGAGTGGGTGAGTGAGTGGGTGAGTGAGTGGGTGAGTGTGTGAGTGAGTGAGTGGGTGAGTGAGTGGGTGAGTGGGTGGGTGAGTGAGTGGGTGAGTGAGTGGGTGTGTGAGTGAGTGGGTGAGTGAGTGAGCGAGTGGGTGAGTGGATGAGTGAGTGGGTGAGTGTGTGGGTGAGTGAGTGGGTGAGTGAGTGGGTGAGTGAGGGGGTGAGTGGGTGAGCGAGTGAGTGGGTGAGTGAGTGGGTGGGTGAGTGAGTGGGTGTGTGAGTGAGTGGGTGAGTGAGTGGGTGAGTGGGTGAGTGAGTGAGTGGGTGTGTGAGTGAGTGGGTGAGCGAGTGGGTGAGTGGGGGGTGAGTGGGTGTGAGCGAAGGTCGCCAGCTTCGTCCGCTCCCCAACATCCACAGGGCGCACAGTAGCTGTGAAGAGAGCATGGCTAGAGTAGCTGTAGTAGTGGGGGGGTGAGTGGGGGGGTGAGTGGGGGGGTGAGTGGGGGGGTGAGTGGGGGGGTGAGTGGGGGGGTGGGTGAGTGGGTGAGTGAGTGGGTGAGTGAGTGAGCGAGTGAGTGGGTGAGTGGGTGAGTGAGTGGGTGAGTGTGTGGGTGAGTGAGTGGGTGAGTGAGTGGGTGAGTGGGTGAGTGAGTGGGTGAGTGAGTGGGTGAGTGGGTGAGTGATGGGTGAGTGAGTGGGTGAGTGGGTGAGTGATGGGTGAGTGAGTGGGTGAGTGGGTGAGTGAGAGAGTGGGTGAGTGGGTGAGTGAGTGAGTGGGTGAGTGGGAGAGTGTGTGAGTGAGTGGGTGAGTGAGTGGGTGAGTGGGTGAGTGATGGGTGAGTGAGTGGGTGAGTGGGTGAGTGAGTGGGTGAGTGAGTGGGTGAGTGGGTGAGTGAGAGAGTGGGTGAGTGGGTGAGTGAGTGAGTGGGTGAGTGGGTGAGTGTGTGAGTGAGTGGGTGAGTGAGTGGGTGAGTGGGTGAGTGATGGGTGAGTGAGTGGGTGAGTGAGTGGGTGAGTGGGTGAGTGAGTAGGTGGGTGAGTGAGTGAGTGGGTGAGTGGGTGAGTGATGGGTGAGTGAGTGGGTGAGTGGGTGAGTGAGTGGGTGAGTGAGTGGGTGAGTGAGAGAGTGGGTGAGTGGGTGAGTGAGTAGGTGGGTGAGTGAGTGAGTGGGTGAGGGGTGAGCGAAGGCTCGCCAGCTTCGTCCGCTCCCCAACATCCACAGGGCGCACAGTAGCTGTGGAGAGAGCATGGCTAGAGTTGCTGTAGTAGTGGGGGGGTGAGTGGGGGGGTGAGTGGGGGGGTGGGTGGGGGGGTGAGTGGGGGGGGTGAGTGGGGGGGTGGGTGGGGGGGTGAGTGGGGGGTGAGTGGGGGGGTGAGTGGGGGGGTGAGTGGGGGGGTGAGTGGGGGGTGGGTGAGTGGGTGAGTGAGTGAGTGGGTGAGTGGGTGAGTGGGTGAGTGGGTGAGTGAGTGGGTGTGTGAGTGGGTGAGTGAGTGTGTGGGTGAGTGGGTGAGTGGGTGAGTGAGTGGGTGTGTGAGTGAGTGGGTGAGTGAGTGTGTGGGTGAGTGAGTGGGTGAGTGGGTGTGTGAGTGGGTGAGTGAGTGGGTGAGTGAGTGGGTGAGTGTGTGAGTGAGTGAGTGGGTGAGTGAGTGGGTGAGTGGGTGGGTGAGTGAGTGGGTGAGTGAGTGTGTGGGTGAGTGAGTGGGTGAGTGGGTGTGTGAGTGGGTGAGTGAGTGGGTGAGTGAGTGGGTGAGTGTGTGAGTGAGTGAGTGGGTGAGTGAGTGGGTGAGTGGGTGGGTGAGTGAGTGGGTGAGTGAGTGGGTGTGTGAGTGAGTGGGTGAGTGAGCGAGCGAGTGGGTGAGTGGATGAGTGAGTGGGTGAGTGAGTGGGTGAGTGGGTGTGTGAGTGAGTGGGTGAGTGAGTGAGCGAGTGGGTGAGTGGATGAGTGAGTGGGTGAGTGTGTGGGTGAGTGAGTGGGTGAGTGAGTGGGTGAGTGAGTGGGTGAGTGTGTGGGTGAGTGAGTGGGTGAGTGAGTGGGTGAGTGTGTAGGTGAGTGAGTGAGTGGGTGAGTGTGTGGGTGAGTGTGTGGGTGAGTGAGTGGGTGAGTGAGTGGGTGAGTGTGTAGGTGAGTGAGTGAGTGGGTGAGTGAGTGGGTGAGTGGGTGAGTGAGTGGGTGTGTGAGTGAGTGGGTGAGTGGGTGAGTGAGTGGGTGAGTGGGTGAGTGGGTGAGTGAGTGGGTGAGTGAGTGGGTGAGTGGGTGAGTGAGAGAGTGGGTGAGTGGGTGAGTGAGTGAGTGGGTGAGTGGGTGAGTGTGTGAGTGAGTGGGTGAGTGAGTGGGTGAGTGGGTGAGTGATGGGTGAGTGAGTGGGTGAGTGGGTGAGTGAGTGGGTGAGTGGGTGAGTGGGTAAGTGAGTGGGTGAGTGAGTGGGTGAGTGGGTGAGTGATGGGTGAGTGAGTGGGTGAGTGGGTGAGTGAGTGGGTGAGTGAGTGGGTGAGTGAGAGAGTGGGTGAGTGGGTGAGTGAGTGAGTGGGTGAGTGGGTGAGTGGGTGAGTGGGTGAGTGGGTGAGTGGGTGAGTGGGTGAGTGGGTGAGTGAGTGGGTGAGTGAGTGGGTGAGTGGGTGAGTGAGAGAGTGGGTGAGTGGGTGAGTGAGTGAGTGGGTGAGTGGGTGAGTGTGTGAGTGAGTGGGTGAGTGAGTGGGTGAGTGGGTGAGTGATGGGTGAGTGAGTGGGTGAGTGGGTGAGTGAGTGGGTGAGTGGGTGAGTGGGTAAGTGAGTGGGTGAGTGAGTGGGTGAGTGGGTGAGTGATGGGTGAGTGAGTGGGTGAGTGGGTGAGTGAGTGGGTGAGTGAGTGGGTGAGTGAGAGAGTGGGTGAGTGGGTGAGTGAGTGAGTGGGTGAGTGGGTGAGTGGGTGAGTGGGTGAGTGGGTGAGTGAGTGGGTGAGTGGGTGAGTGGGTGAGTGAGTGGGTGAGTGAGTGGGTGAGTGGGTGAGTGAGAGAGTGGGTGAGTGGGTGAGTGAGTGAGTGGGTGAGTGGGTGAGTGTGTGAGTGAGTGGGTGAGTGAGTGGGTGAGTGGGTGAGTGATGGGTGAGTGAGTGGGTGAGTGAGTGGGTGAGTGGGTGAGTGGGTAAGTGAGTGGGTGAGTGAGTGGGTGAGTGGGTGAGTGATGGGTGAGTGAGTGGGTGAGTGGGTGAGTGAGTGGGTGAGTGAGTGGGTGAGTGAGAGAGTGGGTGAGTGGGTGAGTGAGTAGGTGGGTGAGTGAGTGAGTGTGTGAGGGGTGAGCAAAGGTCGCCAGCTTCGTCCGCTCCCCAACATCCACAGGGCGCACAGTAGCTGTGGAGAGAGCATGGCTAGAGTTGCTGTAGTAGTGGGGGGGTGAGTGGGGGGGTGAGTGGGGGGGTGGGTGGGGGGGTGAGTGGGGGGGTGAGTGGGGGGGTGAGTGGGGGGGTGAGTGGGTGAGTGAGTGTGTGAGTGAGTGGGTGAGTGAGTGGGTGAGTGAGTGGGGGGGTGGGTGAGTGGGTGAGTGTGTGAGTGAGTGAGTGGGTGAGTGAGTGGGTGAGTGGGTGGGTGAGTGAGTGGGTGAGTGAGTGGGTGGGTGAGTGGGTGAGTGAGTGGGTGAGTGAGTGAGTGGGTGAGTGGGTGAGTGAATGGGTGAGAGAGTGGGTGAGTGTGTAGGTGAGTGAGTGAGTGGGTGAGTGTGTGGGTGAGTGTGTGGGTGAGTGAGTGGGTGAGTGAGTGGGTGAGTGGGTGAGTGGGTGAGTGAGTGGGTGAGTGGGGGGTGAGTGAGTGGGTGAGTGTGTGGGTGAGTGTGTAGGTGAGTGAGTGGGTGAGTGTGTAGGTGAGTGAGTGAGTGGGTGAGTGAGTGGGTGAGTGAGAGAGTGGGTGAGTGTGTAGGTGAGTGAGTGGGTGAGTGTGTGGGTGAGTGAGTGAGTGGGTGAGTGAGTGGGTGAGTGAGTGAGTGGGTGAGTGAGTGGGTGAGTGGGTGAGTGGGTGAGTGGGTGAGTGAGTGGGTGTGTGAGTGGGTGAGTGAGTGTGTGGGTGAGTGGGTGAGTGGGTGAGTGAGTGGGTGTGTGAGTGAGTGGGTGAGTGAGTGTGTGGGTGAGTGAGTGGGTGAGTGGGTGTGTGAGTGGGTGAGTGAGTGGGTGAGTGAGTGGGTGAGTGTGTGAGTGAGTGAGTGGGTGAGTGAGTGGGTGAGTGTGTGGGTGAGTGAGTGGGTGAGTGAGTGGGTGAGTGAGTGGGTGAGTGTGTGGGTGAGTGAGTGGGTGAGTGAGTGGGTGAGTGTGTAGGTGAGTGAGTGAGTGGGTGAGTGTGTGGGTGAGTGTGTGGGTGAGTGAGTGGGTGAGTGAGTGGGTGAGTGTGTAGGTGAGTGAGTGAGTGGGTGAGTGAGTGGGTGAGTGGGTGAGTGGGGGGTGAGTGGGGGTGAGCGAAGGTCGCCAGCTTGGTCCGCTCCTCAACATCCACAGGGCGCACAGTAGCTGTGGAGAGAGCATGGCTAGAGTAGCTGTAGTAGTGGGGGGGTGAGTGGGGGGGTGAGTGGGGGGGTGAGTGGGGGGGTGAGTGGTGAGTGAGTGAGTGAGTGGGGTGAGTGAGTGGGTGAGTGAGTGGGTGAGTGAGTGGGTGAGTGAGTGGGTGGGTGAGTGGGTGAGTGAGTGGGTGAGTGGGTGAGTGAGTGAGTGTGTGGGTGAGTGGGTGAGTGAGTGGGTGAGTGTGTGGGTGAGTGGGTGAGTGAGTGGGTGAGTGGGTGAGTGAGTGGGTGAGTGAGTGGGTGAGTGTGCGGGTGAGTGAGTGGGTGAGTGTGTGGGTGAGTGGGTGAGTGAGTGGGTGTGTGAGTGGGTGGGTGAGTGGGTGAGTGAGTGTGTGGGTGAGTGGGTGAGTGAGTGGGTGTGTGAGTGAGTGGGTGAGTGGGTGAGTGTGTGGGTGAGTGTGTGGGTGAGTGAGAGAGTGGGTGAGTGGGTGAGTGAGTAGGTGGGTGAGTGAGTGAGTGTGTGAGGGGTGAGCAAAGGTCGCCAGCTTCGTCCGCTCCCCAACATCCACAGGGCGCACAGTAGCTGTGGAGAGAGCATGGCTAGAGTAGCTGTAGTAGTGGGGGGTGAGTGGGGGGGTGAGTGGGGGGGTGAGTGAGTGGGTGGGTGAGTGAGTGGGTGAGTGAGTGAATGGGTGAGTGGGTGAGTGAGTGGGTGGGTAAGCGAGTGGGTGAGTGAGTGGGTGAGTGGGTGAGTGAGCGATTGGGTGAGCGAGTGGGTGAGTGGGTGAGCGAGTGGGTGAGTGGGTGAGCGAGTGGGTGATCGAGTGGTTGAGTGGGTGAGTGAGTGGGTGAGTGGTTGAGTGGGTGAGTGAGTGGGGATATAGGTGAGCGAGGGGTTGAGTGAGTGGGTGAGTGAGTGGGTGAGTGGGGGAGCGAGTGGTTGAGTGAGTGGGTGAGCGAGTGGGTGAGCGAGTGGTTGAGTGGGTGAGTGAGTGGGTGAGCGAGTGAGCGAGTGGGTGAGCGAGTGGTTGAGTGGGTGAGTGAGTGGGTGGGTGAGCGAGTGAGCGAGTGGGTGAGCGAGCGGGTGAGCGAGCAGGTGAGTGAGTGGGTGAGTGGGTGGGCGAGCGGGTGAGTGGGTGAGCTAGCGGGTGAGAGGGTGAGTGAGCGGGTGACTTACGTGGAGTGACACTAGAATTCCATCTCGCGTTTGACAGTCGACCTACAACACAAACGAATCATCATCATCAGCACCACAATCATCAGCCAGGGTCTCTCCAGTGCTGGATGTCACTCTCACAATGATGATGCTGATGTCCCTCATGATGCCAGTGTGGGTGTGGTGGTTGTTGATAGTGTGGTTGTGGTGGTTGTTGTAGTGGTAGTTGTGGTGGTTGTTGATCGTGTGGTTGTGGTGGTAGTTGTAGTGGTAGTTGTGGTGGTTGTTGATAGTGTGGTTGTCGAGGTAGTTGTGATGGTTGATAGTGTGGTTGTAGTGGTAGTTGTAGTGGTTGTTGATAGTGTGGTTGTGGTGGTAGTTGTAGTGGTAGTTGTGGTGGTTGTTGATAGTGTGGTTGTGGTGGTAGTTGTAGTGGTAGTTGTAGTGGTTGTTGATAGTGTGGTTGTGGTGGTAGTTGTGGTGGTTGTTGATAGTGTGGTTGTGGTGGTAGTTGTAGTGGTAGTTGTGGTTGTTGTTGATAGTGTGGTTGTAGTGGTAGTTGTGGTGGTTGTTGATAGTGTGGTTGGAGTGGTTGTTGTAGTGGTAGTTGTAGTGGTTGTTGATAGTGTGGTTGTAGTGGTAGTTGTGGTGGTTGTTGATAGTGTGGTTGTAGTGGTAGTTGTGGTGATTGTTGATAGTGTGGTTGTGGTGGTAGTTGTGGTGGTTGTTGATAGTGTGGTTGTGGTAGTAGTTGTGGTGGTTGTTGATAGTGTGGTTGTGGTGGTAGTTGTGGTGGTTGTTGATAGTGTGGTTGTGGTGGTAGTTGTGGTGGTTGTTGATAGTGTGGTTGTGGTAGTAGTTGTGGTGGTTGTTGATAGTGTGGTTGTGGTGGTAGTTGTGGTGGTTGTTGATAGTGTGGTTGTGGTGGTAGTTGTGGTGGTTGTTGATAGTGTGGTTGTGGTGGTAGTTGTGGTGGTTGTTGATAGTGTGGTTGTGGTGGTAGTTGTGGTGGTTGTTGATAGTGTGGTTGTGGTGGTAGTTGTGGTGGTTGTTGATAGTGTGGTTGTGGTGGTAGTTGTGGTGGTTGTTGATAGTGTGGTTGTGGTGGTAGTTGTGGTGGTTGTTGATAGTGTGGTTGTGGTGGTAGTTGTGGTGGTTGTTGATAGTGTGGTTGGAGTGGTTGTTGTAGTGGTAGTTGTAGTGGTAGTTGTAGTGGTAGTTGTGGTGGTTGTTGATAGTGTGGTTGTGGTGGTAGTTGTAGTGGTAGTTGTAGTAGTGGTTCTTGTGGTTCTAGTGGTTGTTGTAGTGGTTGTTGTGGTTGTGGTTGTTGTAGTAGTGGTTCTTGTGGTTGTAGTGGTTGTTGTAGTAGTGGTTGTTGTAGTAGTGGTGGTTGTAGTAGTGGTTGTTGTAGTAGTATTGGTTGTTGTGGTTGTAGTGGTAGTAGTGGTTGTTGTAGTGGTTGTTGTAGTGGTTGTTGCTGTGGTTGTTGTAGTAGTGGTGGTTGTTGTTGTGGTTGTAGTGGTTGTTGTTGTAGTGGTTGTTGTAGTAGTGGTGGTTGTAGTAGTATTGCTTGTTGTAGTAGTATTGGTTGTTGTGGTTGTAGTGGTTGTTGTGGTTGTAGTGGTTGTGGTTGTTGTGGTTGTTGTGGTTGTAGTGGTTGTTGTGGTTGTGGTTGTTGTGGTTGTGGTTGTTGTGGTGGTTGTAGTGGTTGTTGTGGTGGTTGTTGTGGTTGTTGTGGTGGTTGTTGTTGTGGTGGTTGTGGTTGTTGTGGTGGTTGTTGTTGTGGTTGTTGTGGTGGTTGTTGTGGTTGTGGTTGTTGTTGACTGACCGGCCGGACGAGCGACCTTGCACAACGCCGCCCTGAGCGCCGCCATCTTGCTTCTGCGACTCGCCCCGCCCCCTCGCAACACGCGGCCTTTCCATTGGCTGCCGCGGGCACCCCACGTGGTCCACGCTGCTAACCAATCGCGTGGGTGGGGTGTGTGTTTGGCCCGTGTCACTCACCCACTCACTCACTCACCCACTCACCCATCTACTCACCCACTCACTCACCCACTCACCCATCACTCACCCATCACTCACCCACTCACCCACTCACTCACCCACTCACCCATCACTCACCCACTCACTCACCCACTCACTCACTCACCCACTCACTCACTCACCCATCACTCACCCACTCACTCACCCACCCATCACTCACCCACTCACCCATCACTCACCCACTCACTCACTCACCCACTCACCCATCACTCACTCATCACTCCATCTCTTCTCTAGCCCGTGTCACCCACTTACTCACCCACTCACTCACCCATCACTCACCCACTCACCCATCATTCCATCTCTTCTCTAGCCCGTGTCACCCACTTACTCACCCACTCACTCACCCATCACTCCATCTCTTCTCTAGCCCGTGTCACCCACTCACTTACCCACTCAACCATCACTATCCACTCACTCACCCCCCCCACTCACCCACTCACTCACCCACTCACCCATCACTCCATCTCTAGCCCGTGTCACTCACTCACCCACTCCTCACCCAATCACCCATCACTCCATCTCTTCTCTAGCCCGTATCACTCACTCACCCACACACTCCATCTCTTCTCTAGCCCGTGTCACTCACTCACCCACTCACACACTCACCCACTCACCCATCACTCCATCTCTTCTCTAGCCCATGTCACTCACTCACCCACACACTCCATCTCTTCTCTAGCCCGTGTCACTCACTCACCCACTCACCCATCACTCCATCTCTTCTCTAGCCCGTGTCACTCACTCACCCACTCACCCATTCACTCACCCACTCACCCATTCACTCACCCACTCACCCATCACTCCATCTCTTCTCTAGCCCGTGTCACTCACTCACTCACCCATCACTCCATCTCTTCTCTAGCCCGTGTCACTCACCCACACACTCACCCATCACTCCATCTCTTCTCTAGCCCGTGCCACTCACTCACCCACTCACCCACACACTCACCCATCACTCCATCTCTTCTCTAGCCCGTGTCACTCACTCATCCACTCACCCACACACTCACCCATCACTCATCACTCCATCTCTTCTCTAGCCCGTGTCACTCACTCACTCACCCACTCACCACATACACACACCACACACTAAACACACACACACCACACCATACACACACACACCACACCATATGCACACACCACACAAACTACGCATACACCACACACGACACACAGGTGGTGGTGGTGGTTTGGGACACGCGTAGGTAGACTCGGACAGGACACAGTGCACACACCCCAAGACTTTATTGACAAGGAGGCTCGAGAGTGGGGAGTAATAACAGCACTTGCCCCGACAGTCCGGGAAGGCTACCCGGGGGCCCTTTGTCAGTGTGCCTCTCTCTGACCGCACCCCTCCCCACCCGCCCAGTGACCCCCCTTTGCTGCACCTAGCCTGGCACGCCAATGTGTGTGTGTGTGGTGTGTGTGTGGTGTGTGTGTGTGTAGTGTGTGTAGTGTGTGTGGTGTGTGTGTAGTGTGTGTGTGGTGTGTGTGGTGTGTGGTGTGTGTGTAGTGTGTGTGTGTGGTGTGTGTAGTGGTGTGTGTAGTGGTGTGTGTGGTGTGTGTAGTGTGTCTGTGTAGTGGTGTGTGTGGTGTGTGTAGTGTGTGTAGTAGTGTGTATGTGGTGTGTGTGTAGTGTGTGTAGTGTGTGTGTAGTGTGTGTGGTGTGTGTGTGTTGTGTATGTGGTGTGTGTGTGGTGTGTGTAGTGGTGTGTGTGGTGTGTGTAGTGTCTGTGTAGTAGTGTGTGGGGTGTGTGTAGTGGTGTGTAGGTTGTGTAGTGTGTGTATAGTGTGTAGTGTGTATAGTGTGTAGTGTGTATAGTGTGTAGTGTGTATAGTGTGTAGTATATGTGTAGTGTGTGTGTGTAGTGTGTGTGTAGTATATGTGTAGTAGATGTGTGTGTGTAGTGTGGTGTGTGTGTAGTGTGTGTAGTGTGTATAGTGTGTAGTGTGTATAGTGTGTAGTGTGTATAGTGTGTAGTATATGTGTAGTGTGTGTGTAGTGTTGTGTGTGTGTGTAGTGTGTGTGTGTGTATAGTGTGTAGTATATGTGTAGCGTGTGTGTGTAGTGTGTGTGTTGTTTGTGTGTTGTGTGTGTAGTGTGTGTGTGTTGTTTGTGTGTGTGTAGTATATGTGTAGTAGATGTGTGTGTGTGTAGTGTGGTGTGTGTGTGTAGTGTGTGTAGTGTGTAGTGTGTGCAGTGTGTGTAGTGTGTAGTATATGTGTAGTGTGTGTGTGTTGTTTGTGTTGTGTGTGTTGTTTGTGTATGTGTGTGTAGTGTGTGTAGTGTATGTAGTGTGTGTAGTGTGTATAGTGTGTAGTATATGTGTAGTGTGTGTGTGTAGTGTGTGTAGTATATGTGTGTGTAGTGTGTGTGGGTAGTGTGTGTGTTGTTTGTGTTGTGTGTGTTGTTTGTGTATGTAGTATATGTGTGTGTAGTGTGTTGTTTGTGTCACGCGAGCAGGACGGGGGTCTGTCGGAGCTCCAGGACATCTGGTGGAGGGGGAGGGAGGAGGGAGACACGGGGAGAGGGAGACACGAGGAGAGGGAGACACGGGGAGAGGGAGACACGGGGAGAGGGAGACACGGGGAGAGGGAGACACGGGGAGAGGGAGACGGAGACACGGGGAGAGGGAGACACGGGGAGAGGGAGACACGGGGAGAGGGAGACACGGGGAGAGGGAGACGGAGACACGGGGAGGAGGAGACACGGGGAGAGGGAGACACGGGGAGAGGGAGACACGGGGAGAGGGAGACACGGGGAGAGGGAGACGGAGACACGGGGAGAGGGAGACACGGGGAGAGGGAGGAGGAGACGGGGAGAGGGAGACACGGGGAGAGGGAGACGGAGACACGGGGAAACGGAGACACGGGGAGCGGGAGACACGGGGAGAGGGAGACACGGGGAGAGGGAGACAGAGACACGGGGAGAGGGAGACACGGGGAGGGGGAGAGGGTGACACGGGGAGGGGGAGAGGGAGACACGAGGAGGGGGAGACACGGGGAGGGAGGAGGGAGACACGGGGAGAGGGAGGAGGGAGACACGGGGAGAGGGAGGAGGAGACACGGGGAGAGGGAGACACGGGGAGAGGGAGACGGAGACACGGGGAGAGGGAGACACGGGGAGAGGGAGACGGAGACACGGGGAGAGGGAGACACGGGGAGAGGGAGACGGAGACACGGGGAGAGGGAGACACGGGGAGAGGGAGACACGGGGAGAGGGAGACGGAGACACAGGGAGGGAGGAGGGAGACACGGGGAGAGGAGACACGGGGAGAGGGAGACACGGGGAGAGGGAGACACGGGGAGAGGGAGATACGGGGAGGGGGAGACACGGGGAGGAGGAGACGGAGACACGGAGAGAGGGAGACACGGGGAGGAGGAGGGAGACACGGGGAGGAGGGGGAGAGGGAGACACGGGGAGGAGGGGGAGGGAGACACGGAGAGGGAGACACGTTTAGATAGCTGCACAAAACTAAAGTGGGTGTGTGTCCATGTCTTCTTCTCTCTGTGTGTGTCTCTGTGTGTGTCTCTGTGTCTCTGTGTGTGTCTCTGTATATGTGTGTGTCTGTGTGTGTGTCTCTGTGTGTGAGTGTCTCGGTGTGTGTCTCTGTGTCTCGGTGTGTGTGTCTCGGTGTGTGTCTCTGTGTCTCGGTGTGTGTGTCTCTGTGTGTGTCTCTGCGTGTGTCTCTGCGTGTGTCTCTGCGTGTGTCTCTGTGTGTGTGTCTCTGTGTGTGTGTCTCTGCGTGTGTCTCTGCGTGTGTCTCTGCGTGTGTCTCTGCGTGTGTCTCTGTGTGTGTGTGTGTCTCTGTGTGTGAGTGTCTCGGTGTGTGTCTCTGTGTCTCGGTGTGTGTGTCTCGGTGTGTGTCTCTGTGTCTCGGTGTGTGTGTCTCTGTGTGTGTCTCTGTGTGTGTCTCTGCGTGTGTCTCTGCGTGTGTCTCTGTGTGTGTCTCTGTGTGTGTCTCTGTGTCTCTGTGTCTCTGTGTGTGTGTCTCTGTGTGTGTGTCTCTGTGTGTATCTCTGTGTGTGTCTCTGTGTGTGTCTCTGTGTGTGTGTCTCTGTGTGTCTCTGTGTGTGTCTCTGTGTGTGTCTCTGTGTGTGTCTCTGCGTGTGTCTCTGTGTGTGTGTCTCTGTGTGTGTCTCTGTGTGTGTCTCTGTATGTGTCTCTGTGCGTGTCTCTCTGTGTGTGTCTCTCTGTGTGTGTCTCTGTGTGTGTCTCTGCGTGTGTCTCTGCGTGTGTCTCTGCGTGTGTCTCTGTGTGTCTCTGTGTGTGTCTCTGTGTGTGTGTCTGTGTGTGTCTGTGTGTGTGTGTCTCTGTGTGTGTGTCTCTGCGTGTGTCTCTGCGTGTGTCTCTGTGTGTGTCTCTGTGTGTCTCTGTGTGTGTCTCTGTGTGTCTCTGCGTGTGTCTCTGTGTGTGTCTCTGCGTGTGTCTCTGCGTGTGTCTCTGCTTGTGTCTCTGTATGTGTCTCTGTGTGTGTCTCTGTGTGTGTCTCTGTGTGTGTCTCTGTGTCTCTGTGTGTGTCTCTGTGTGTGTCTCTGCGTGTGTCTCTGTGTCTCTGCGAGTGTCTCTGTGTGTGTCTCTGTGTGTGTCTCTGTGCGTGTCTCTGTGCGTGTCTCTGTGTGTGTCTCTGTGCGTGTCTCTGTGTGTGTCTCTGTGTGTGTCTCTGTGTGTCTCTGTGTGTGTGTCTCTGTGTGTCTCTGCGTGTGTCTCTGCGTGTGTCTCTGTATGTGTCTCTGTGTGTGTCTCTGTGTGTGTCTCTGTGTGTGTCTCTGTGTCTCTGTGTGTGTCTCTGTGTGTGTCTCTGCGTGTGTCTCTGTGTCTCTGCGAGTGTCTCTGTGTGTGTCTCTGTGTGTGTCTCTGTGTGTGTCTCTGTGTGTGTCTCTGTGTGTGTCTCTGTGTGTGTCTCTGTGTGTGTCTCTGTGTGTGTCTCTGTGCGTGTCTCTGTGTGTCTCTGTGTGTGTGTCTCTGTGTGTCTCTGCGTGTGTCTCTGTGTGTGTCTCTGCGTGTGTCTCTGCGTGTGTCTCTGCTTGTGTCTCTGTATGTGTCTCTGTGTGTGTCTCTGTGTGTGTCTCTGTGTGTGTCTCTGTGTGTGTCTCTGTGTATCACCGTTGATGATGGCGCTGCAGGGCAGGCTGATGTACGTGAGTCTGGCGGACAGGGGCGTGTCTCTGTGTGTGTCTCTGTGTGTGTCTCTGTGTGTGTCTCTGTGTGTGTGTCTGTGTGTCTCTGTGTGTGTCTCTGTGTATCACCGTTGATGATGGTGCTGCAGGGCAGGCTGATGTACGTGAGTCTGGCGGACAGGGGCGTGTCTCTGTGTGTGTCTCTGTGTGTGTCTCTGTGTGTGTGTCTCTGTGTGTGTCTCTGTGTCTCACCGTTAATGATGGCACTGCAGGGCAGGCTGATGTACGTGAGTCTGGCGGACAGGGGCGTGTCCGCCGTCGGGACGGAGCGCCTGAGCCAGGACGAAAGCACGGAGCCTGCAGACAGACACAGACAAAGATCCCCCAGGTAGCCTCTAGCAGGGCTGTAGGGGCAAGTGCTGTCCGCGAACAGCAGCAGCAGCGTCTATGCGTGCACGCGCACACACACACACACACACGTCTCTCTCCCCGTGTCTCCCTACGTGTCTCTCTCCCCGTGTCTCCCTACGTGTCTCTCTCCCACGTGTCTCCCCCACGTGTCTCCCCCACGTGTCTCCCCCCGTGTCTCTTCCCCCACGTGTCTCCCCCCCACGTGTCTCTCCCCCACGTGTCTCCCCCCCACGTGTCTCCCCCCCACGTGTCTCCCCCCCACGTGTCTCTCCCCCCCACGTGTCTCTCCCACGTGTCTCTCCTCCCACGTGTCTCTCCCCCCACGTGTCTCCCCCCCACGTGTCTCCCCCCCCCGTGTCTCTCCCCCCACGTGTCTCTCCGCGTGTCTACCCCCCGTCTCTCCCTCCACGTGTCTCTCCGCGTGTCTCCCCGCGTGTCTCTCCCCCCACGTGTCTCCCCGCGTGTCTACCCCCCGTCTCTCCCTCCCCGTGTCTCCCCCACGTGTCTCCCCCACGTGTCTCCCCCACGTGTCTCCCCCACGTGTCTCCCCCACGTGTCTCCCCCACGTGTCTCCCCCACGTGTCTCCCCCACGTGTCTCCCCCACGTGTCTCCCCCACGTGTCTCCCCCACGTGTCTCCCCCACGTGTCTCCCCCACGTGTCTCCCCCCACGTGTCTCCCCCACGTGTCTCCCCCACGTCTCCCCCCCACGTGTCTCCCCACGTGTCTCTCCCCCACGTGTCTCCCCACGTGTCTCCCCCACGTGTCTCCCCACGTGTCTCTCCCCCACGTGTCCACCCACGTGTCTCTCCCTCCCACGTGTCTCCCCCCCACGTGTCTCTCCCCCCCACGTGTCTCTCCCCCCCACGTGTCTCCCCCCCACGTGTCTCTCCCCCCCCACGTGTCTCTCTCACGTGTCTCTCCCCCCCACGTGTCTCCCCACGTGTCTCTCCCCACCACGTGTCTCTCCCCCCCACGTGTCTCTCTCACGTGTCTCTCCCCACCACGTGTCTCTCCCCCACGTGTCTCCCCCCACGTGTCTCTCCCCCACGTGTCTCCCCCCACGTGTCTCTCCCCCACGTGTCTCTCCCCCCACGTCTCCCCACCACGTGTCTCCCCCACGTGTCTCCCCCCGTCTCTCCCCCGTGTCTCCCCACGTGTCTCTCCCCCCCACGTGTCTCTCCCCACCACGTCTCTCTCCCCACCACGTGTCTCTCTCCCCACCACGTGTCTCCCCAAGTGTCTCCCCACGTGTCTCCCCCCCACGTGTCTCTCCCCACGTGTCCCCCCACGTGTCTCTCCCCCACGTGTCTCTCCCCCACGTGTCTCCCTCCCGTGTCTCCCCCACGTGTCTCTCCCCACCACGTGTCTCTCCCCCCCACGTGTCTCTCCCCACCACGTGTCTCCCCACCACGTGTCTCTCCCCCCACGTGTCTCTCCCTCCCACGTGTCTCTCCCCCCACGTGTCTCTCCCCACGTGTCCCCCCACGTGTCTCTCCCCCACGTGTCTCTCCCCCACGTGTCTCCCTCCCACGTGTCTCCCTCCCGTGTCTCCCCCACGTGTCTCTCCCCACCACGTGTCTCTCCCCACCACGTGTCTCTCCCCCCCACGTGTCTCTCCCCACCACGTGTCTCTCCCCCCCACGTGTCTCTCCCTCCCACGTGTCTCCCCACCACGTGTCTCTCCCTCCCACGTGTCTCTCCCCCCACGTGTCTCTCCCCACCACGTGTCTCTCCCCACCACGTGTCTCTCCCCACCACGTGTCTCTCCCCCCACGTGTCTCTCCCCACCACGTGTCTCTCCCCACCACGTGTCTCTCCCCACCACGTGTCTCTCCCCCCCACGTGTCTCTCCCCACCACGTGTCTCTCTCCCCACCACGTGTCTCTCCCTCCCACGTGTCTCTCCCCACCACGTGTCTCTCCCCACCACGTGTCTCTCCCCACCACGTGTCCCCCCACGTGTCTCTCCCCACCCCGTGTCTCTCCCTCCCACGTGTCTCTCCCCACCACGTGTCTCTCCCCACCACGTGTCTCTCCCTCCCACGTGTCTCTCCCCACCACGTGTCTCTCCCCACCACGTGTCCCCCCACGTGTCTCTCCCCACCACGTGTCTCTCCCCACCACGTGTCTCTCCCCACCCCCGTGTCTCTCCCTCCCACGTGTCTCTCCCCACCACGTGTCTCTCCCCCCACGTGTCTCTCCCCACCACGTGTCTCTCCCCACCACGTGTCTCTCCCCACCACGTGTCTCTCCCCCCCACGTGTCTCTCCCCACCACGTGTCTCTCCCTCCCACGTGTCTCTCCCCCCACGTGTCTCTCCCCACCACGTGTCTCTCCCCACCACGTGTCTCTCCCCACCACGTGTCTCTCCCTCCCACGTGTCTCTCCCCACCACGTGTCTCTCCCCACCACGTGTCTCTCCCTCCCACGTGTCTCTCCCCACCACGTGTCTCTCCCCACCACGTGTCTCTCCCCACCACGTGTCTCTCCCCACCACGTGTCTCTCTCCCCACGTGTCTCCCCACGTGTCTCCCCACCACGTGTCTCCCACCACGTGTCTCTCCCCACCACGTGTCCCCCCACGTGTCTCTCCCCACCCCGTGTCTCTCCCTCCCACGTGTCTCTCTCCCCCACGTGTCTCCCCCACGTGTCTCTCCCTCCCACGTGTCTCTCTCCCCCACGTGTCTCCCCACGTGTCTCTCCCCACCACGTGTCTCTCCCCACCACGTGTCTCTCCCCACGTGTCTCTCCCCACCACGTGTCTCTCTCCCCACGTGTCTCTCCCCACCACGTGTCTCTCCCCCCCACGTGTCTCTCCCCACCACGTGTCTCCCCACCACGTGTCTCTCCCCCCACGTGTCTCTCCCTCCCACGTGTCTCTCCCCCCACGTGTCTCTCCCCACCACGTGTCTCTCCCCACCACGTGTCTCTCCCCACCACGTGTCTCTCCCCCCACGTGTCTCTCCCCACCACGTGTCTCTCCCCACCACGTGTCTCTCCCCACCACGTGTCTCTCCCCCCCCACGTGTCTCTCCCCACCACGTGTCTCTCCCTCCCACGTGTCTCTCCCCCCACGTGTCTCTCCCCACCACGTGTCTCTCCCTCCCACGTGTCTCTCCCCACCACGTGTCTCTCCCCACCACGTGTCTCTCTCCCCACCACGTGTCTCTCCCTCCCACGTGTCTCTCCCCACCACGTGTCTCTCCCCACCACGTGTCTCTCCCCACCCCGTGTCTCTCCCTCCCACGTGTCCTCCCCACCACGTGTCTCTCCCCACCACGTGTCTCTCCCTCCCACGTGTCTCCCCACGTGTCTCCCCACCACGTGTCTCCCACCACGTGTCTCTCCCCACCACGTGTCCCCCCACGTGTCTCTCCCCACCCCGTGTCTCTCCCTCCCACGTGTCTCTCTCCCCCACGTGTCTCCCCCACGTGTCTCTCCCTCCCACGTGTCTCTCTCCCCCACGTGTCTCCCCACGTGTCTCTCCCCACCACGTGTCTCTCCCCACCACGTGTCTCTCCCCACCACGTGTCTCTCCCCCCGTGTCTCTCCCCACCACGTGTCTCTCTCCCCACGTGTCTCTCCCCACCACGTGTCTCTCCCCCCCACGTGTCTCTCCCCACCACGTGTCTCCCCACCACGTGTCTCTCCCCCCACGTGTCTCTCCCTCCCACGTGTCTCTCCCCCCACGTGTCTCTCCCCCCCACGTGTCTCTCCCCACCACGTGTCTCTCCCCACCACGTGTCTCTCCCCCCACGTGTCTCTCCCCACCACGTGTCTCTCCCCACCACGTGTCTCTCCCCACCACGTGTCTCTCCCCCCCACGTGTCTCTCCCCACCACGTGTCTCTCCCTCCCACGTGTCTCTCCCCCCACGTGTCTCTCCCCACCACGTGTCTCTCCCTCCCACGTGTCTCTCCCCACCACGTGTCTCTCCCCACCACGTGTCTCTCTCCCCACCACGTGTCTCTCCCTCCCACGTGTCTCTCCCCACCACGTGTCTCTCCCCACCACGTGTCTCTCCCCACCCCGTGTCTCTCCCTCCCACGTGTCTCTCCCCACCACGTGTCTCTCCCCACCACGTGTCTCTCCCTCCCACGTGTCTCCCCACGTGTCTCCCCACCACGTGTCTCCCACCACGTGTCTCTCCCCACCACGTGTCCCCCCACGTGTCTCTCCCCACCCCGTGTCTCTCCCTCCCACGTGTCTCTCTCCCCCACGTGTCTCCCCCACGTGTCTCTCCCTCCCACGTGTCTCTCTCCCCCACGTGTCTCCCCACGTGTCTCTCCCCACCACGTGTCTCTCCCCACCACGTGTCTCTCCCCACCACGTGTCTCTCCCCACGTGTCTCTCCCCACCACGTGTCTCTCTCCCCACGTGTCTCTCCCCACCACGTGTCTCTCCCCCCCACGTGTCTCCCCACCACGTGTCTCCCCACGTCTCTCCCCCCCACGTGTCTCTCCCCCCACGTGTCTCTCCCCCCCACGTCTCTCCCCCACGCGTCTCTCCCCCCCACGTGTCTCTCCCCCCCACGTGTCTCCCCCCGTGTCTCTCCCCACCACGTGTCTCCCCACCACGTGTCTCCCCACGTGTCTCCCCACGTGTCTCTCCCCACGTGTCTCTCCCCACCACGTGTCTCTCTCCCCACGTGTCTCTCCCCACCACGTGTCTCTCCCCACCACGTGTCTCTCCCCACCACGTGTCTCTCCCCACGTGTCTCTCCCCACCACGTGTCTCTCCCCCCCACGTGTCTCTCCCCCCACGTGTCTCTCCCCCCCACGTGTCTCTCCCCCCCACGTGTCTCCCCACCACGTGTCTCCCCACGTCTCTCCCCCCCACGTGTCTCTCCCCCCACGTGTCTCTCCCCCCCACGTCTCTCCCCCACGCGTCTCTCCCCCCCACGTGTCTCTCCCCCCCACGTGTCTCCCCCCGTGTCTCTCCCCACCACGTGTCTCCCCACCACGTGTCTCCCCACGTGTCTCCCCACGTGTCTCTCCCCACCACGTGTCTCTCCCCACCACGTGTCTCCCCACCACGTGTCTCCCCACGTGTCCCCCCACGTGTCCCCCCACGTGTCTCCCCACGTGTCTCCCCACGTGTCTCCCCACGTGTCTCTCCCTCCCCACGTGTCTCCCCACGTGTCTCCCCCCACGTGTCTCCCCACGTGTCTCCCCACGTGTCTCTCCCCACCACGTGTCTCCCCACGTGTCTCCCCACGTGTCTCTCCCCACGTGTCTCCCCCCACGTGTCTCCCCACGTGTCTCTCCCCACCACGTGTCTCTCCCCACCACGTGTCTCCCCACGTGTCTCCCCACGTGTCTCTCCCCCACATGTCTCTCCCCACCACGTGTCTCTCCCCACGTGTCTCCCCCCGTGTCTCCCCACCACGTGTCTCCCCACGTGTCTCTCCCCCACGTCTCCCCCCCACGTGTCTCTCCCCCCACGTGTCTCCCCACGTGTCTCCCCACGTGTCTCTCCCCCACATGTCTCTCCCCACCACGTGTCTCTCCCTCCCACGTGTCTCTTCCCTCACCTGTCACCCAACCTCCTCCTCCTCCTCCACCACCTCCACCACCACCTCCATCCCCCGCCGTCTCCGCGTCTCCCCCCCGCGTCTCCCCCCGCCGGTTGCCATGGGGACGGTGGGGGGCGTTGTCCCCGGCGACGCCGCTCACGGCCATCTCGGCACGGCCCTTCCCGCCGGGCCCCCGCATCCTCACGAAGGTCGTGGGCGGTAGCGGTAGCGGTAGGGGTGGCGGTAGCAGCGGTAGCGGTAGCGGCCTCCACAGGAGGCGCAGCGGGCCCGGCAGCCCCCGGGCCTGCTGCCGCACGGATGGATTCAGGAACACGGGCGGGGGATCGGCTTCGAGCAAACGCGTAGCGTCTCGCGCCCGTGTGTGTGTCTGTCTGTCTCCGTGTGTGTGTGTGTCTGTCTGTCTCCGTGTGTGTGTGTGTGTGTCTGTCTGTCTCCGTGTGTGTGTGTGTGTCTGTCTGTCTCCGTGTGTGTGTGTGTGTGTGTCTGTCTGTCTCCGTGTGTGTGTGTGTGTCTGTCTCCGTGTGTGTCTGTCTCCGTGTGTGTGTGTGTCTGTCTCCGTGTGTGTGTGTGTGTCTGTCTCCGTGTGTGTGTCTGTGTCTGTCTGTCTCCCTGTGTGTGTGTGTGTCTGTCTGTCTCCGTGTGTGTGTGTGTCTGTCTGTCTCCGTGTGTGTGTGTGTCTGTGTCTGTCTCCGTGTGTGTGTCTGTCTGTCTCCGTGTGTGTGTGTGTGTCTGTGTCTGTCTCCGTGTGTGTGTGTGTCTGTCTCCCTGTGTGTGTGTCTGTCTCCGTGTGTGTCTGTCTCTGTGTGTGTGTCTCTCTGTGTGTCTGTCTCGCGCCCGTGTGTCTCTCTTGTGTCTGTCTCCGTGTGTCTCTCTGTGTGTGTCCCTGTGTCTGTCTCCGTGTCTGGCTCCGTGTGTCTGTCTCCGTGTGTGTCTCTGTGTGTGTGTGTCTCCGTGTGTGTGTCCCTGTGTCTGTCTCCGTGTCTGGCTCCGTGTGTCTGTCTCCCTGTGTGTCTGTCTCCGTGTGTCTCTCTGTGTGTGTGTCTCCGTGTGTGTGTCTCTGTGTCTGTCTCCGTGTGTGCGTCTCTGTGTGCGTCTCACGCCCGTCCGGCAAAACAACCCCCTACCTCCTCGCGGTGCCGGACGGGCAACTCTGTCGTGGACAGTGCTGTGGGGGGATGGCCAATTCTGATTGGCTCCTCCCTTCATGGCGTCTGTGACCACCCCAGTGGCTAAACGGGGGCTCTGGACGGGTGCGAGGGGCTGGTAACCCCTCCACCTTCAATAAATTTCCACTAAACCACGAATTAAAAATGTAACTAATAAGCTTGTGCCGGAGGCCCCGGGGGGCCAGGCGTCTATGACGTCTCCTGGCCAAACCCCAATTGGCGGAGCCAGGAGATTGAATCTCAACCCTCGGGGCTACTCCAGAAACAACGAAAAGCCACTACGGGTGGCCACGTGGAATGTTCGAACGCTCACTGCGGAGGAGAGGCTGCCACTCCTCTGTCGGGAGCTGGACCGGTACCGCCTGGATCTATGCGGCATTCAGGAGGTCCGGTGGACCGGCTCTGGCTCCTGCCACCATGAGGGGTGGACAGTCCTCTACTCGGGGCAGCAGACTGCCAAACAACATGGTGTGGCTCTTCTTTTGAACAAAAGAATGAAGGGGGCGTGGGAGCGTGGCGGTGAGATGTGGGAAGCTGTAAGCCCCAGGCTACTTTGGGCCCGCCTTCCCATCAACCGGAGGCGAGGAATGGTGGTCGTGGTTACTTATGCCCCCACCGAAGATGAACATCCGTGGAGGGATGCAGGCAAAGCCGATGAGTCAGATGCCTTCTATGACCTCCTGTCACAGGTGCTGGCTAAAGTGGCCCCTCGGGATAGAGTCATCATGTTGGATGACTTCAATGCCCGAGTTGGTCATGATACTAGCACCTGGTCTGGAGTGATTGGAGGGCATGGGCCAGATCAGCTCAATAACAACGGTAGGAGGCTGCTAGATTTTTGTGCAGCCCATGGGCTTGTAATTACCAACACGCTGTTCCGGCATCGGCGCATCCACACAACATCATGGATGCATGCCGGGTTCAAGCAAGAACATCTGCTAGACTACATAGTGACGGACCAGCGAATGCGAGCCCATGTCCTTGACACCAGGACCTACCGTGGAGCTGATCTGCCCTCTGACCATCGACTAGTCATCTGTAAGATGCGCCTGCCATTCTTCCACTCCGGTGGTGGGTGTACACCCAGGACCCCATTCCAACCTAAAGTGGCCTGGTCTCAGTTATCTGATGAAAGTTGCAAGCGAGAATTTCATCATCGCTTGCGGCTGGGATTGGCATCGTCCCCGACTCCTCCTGATGTCGAGGGTAAATGGGCGAGGTTTAGGACTGTGACTCATGCAGCTGCAATGGCTGCTTTGGGTACGCGGTCAGGACCTCCCCAGAGACCCTGGCTGACAGAGGCGGGGGATCGGCTTTGAGCAAACGCGTAGCGTCTCGCGCCCGTGTCTGTCTCCGTGTGTGTCTCTCTGTGTGTGTCCCTGTGTGTGTCTCACGCCCGTGTGTGTCTCTCTGTGTGTCTGTCTCCATGTGTGTCTCTCTGTCTGTCTCGCACCCGTGTGTCTCGCGCCCGTGTGTCTCCCTCCGTGTGTCTCGCGCCCGTGTGTCTCCCTCCGTGTCTCCCTCCGTGTGTCTCCCTCCGTGTGTCTCCCCCCGTGTGTCTCCCTCCGTGTGTCTCTCCCCGTGTGTCTCCCTCCCCCCATGTGTCTCCCTCCCCCCGTGTGTCTCCCTCCATGTGTCTCCCTCCGTGTGTCTCCCTCCCCCCGTGTGTCTCCCTCCGTGTGTCTCCCTCCGTGTGTCTCCCTCTGTGTGTCTCCCTCCGTGTGTCTCCCTCCGTGTGTCTCCCCCGTGTGTCTCCCTCCGTGTGTCTCTCTCCGTGTGTCTCCCTCCATGTGTCTCTCCCCGTGTGTCTCCCTCCGTGTGTCTCCCTCCGTGTGTCTCCCCCGTGTGTCTTCCCCGTGTGTCTCGCACCCGTGTGTCTCTCTCCGTGTGTCTCTCTCCGTGTGTCTCCCCTCTTGTGTCTCTCTCCGTGTGTCTCCCTCCGTGTGTCTCCCTCCGTGTGTCTCCCCCCGTGTGTCTCCCTCCGTGTGTCTCCCCCGTGTGTCTCCCCCCGTGTGTCTCCCCCCGTGTGTCTCTGTGTCTCCCCCGTGTCTCCCCGTGTGTCTCCGTGTGTCCCCGTGTGTCCCCGTGTCTCCCCGTGTCTCCCCGTGTGTCCCCGTGTCTCCCCGTGTGTGTCTCCGTGCGTGTCCCCGTGTCTCCACGTGTCTCCCCGTGTCTCCCCGTGTCTCCCCATGTCTCCCCGTGTCTCCCCGTGTCTCCCCGTGTGTGTCTCCGTGTCTCCACGTGTCTCCCCGTGTCTCCCCGTGTCTCCCCGTGTGTCCCCTGTGTCCCCTGTGTCCCCGTGTCTCCCCGTGTCTCCCCGTGTGTCTCCCCGTGTGTCTCCCCGTGTGTCCCCGTGTCTCCCTGTGTCTCCCCGTGTGTCTCCCCGTGTGTCCCCGTGTCTCCCCGTGTCTCCCCGTGTGTCTCCGTGCGTGTCCCCGTACCCTCCTGTCGTGAGCTCTCTTCAGGACCTCGTAGCGTATCGACCCCTGGAAGATGACCCCGACCTTTGACCGCGAGAGGTCGCGGGCGCAGAGCTCAACGCAGACCATGTCTCCCGCGTGGAGACACAGGTCTCCAAACACCTGCAGGGGAGACACGGGGGGAGACACATGGGGAGACACGGGGGGAGACACGGGGGGAGACGCATGGGGAGACACAGGGGGAGACGCAGGGGAGACACGGGGGGAGACGCATGGGGAGACACGGGGGGAGACGCAGGGAGACACGGGGAGAGACACAGGGAGAGACGCAGGGAGACACGGGGGGAGACGCATGGGGAGACACAGGGGGAGACGCAGGGAGACACGGGGGGAGACACGGGGGGAGACGCATGGGGAGACACAGGTCTCCAAACACCTGCAGGGGAGACACGGGGGAGACGCATGGGGAGACACGGGGGGAGACGCAGGGAGACACGGGGAGAGACCAGGAGACACGGGGAGAGACCAGGAGACACGGGGAGATACAGGGAGACATGGGGAGACACGGGGAGACACGGGGGGAGACACGGGGGGAGACGCATGGGGAGACACGGGGGGAGACACGGGGAGAGACACGGGGGGAGACCAGGAGACACGGGGAGAGACCAGGAGACACGGGGAGAGACCAGGAGACATGGGGAGACATGGGGAGACACGGGGAGATACAGGGAGACATGGGGAGACACGGGGGGAGACGCATGGGGAGACACGGGGGGAGACACGGGGAGAGACCAGGAGAAACGGAGAGATACAGAGAGACATGGGGAGACACGGGGAGAGACCAGGAGACACGGGGAGATACAGGGAGACATGGGGAGACACAGGGAGACACAGGGGGAGACGCAGGGGGAGACGCATGGGGAGACACGGGGGGAGACACGGGGAGAGACCAGGAGACACGGGGAGATACAGGGAGACATGGGGAGACACGGGGAGACACGGGGAGACATGGGGATATACAGGGGGAGACCAGGAGACACGGGGAGATACAGGGAGAGACCAGGAGACACGGGGAGATACAGAGAGACATGGGGAGACACGGGGAGACACGGGGAGACACGGGGAGATACAGGGGGAGACCAGGAGACATGGGGAGACACGGGGAGACACGGGGAGACACGGGGAGATACAGGGAGAGACCAGGAGACACGGGGAGATACAGGGAGACATGGGGAGACACGGGGGGAGACACGGGGGGAGACGCATGGGGAGACACGGGGGGAGACACGGGGGGAGACACGGAGAGACACGGGGAGACACGGGGAGACACGGGGAGACACGGGGGGAGACACAGGGGGAGACGCAGGGAGACACGGGGGGAGACACGGGGGGAGAGACGCAGGGAGACACGGGGGGAGACGCATGGGGAGACACGGGGGGAGACACGGGGAGAGACCAGGAGACACGGGGAGATACAGGGAGACATGGGGAGACACGGGGAGACACGGGGAGACACGGGCATATACAGGGGGAGACCAGGAGACACGGGGAGACACGGGGAGAGACCAGGAGACACGGGGAGATACAGGGAGACATGGGGAGACACGGGGAGACACGGGGAGACACGGGGAGACACGGGGAGATACAGGGAGAGACCAGGAGACACGGGGAGATACAGAGAGACATGGGGAGACACGGGAAGACACGGGGAGACACGGGGAGATACAGGGGGAGACACGGGGAGACACAGGGGGAGACACGGGGAGACACGGGGGGAGACATGGGAAGACACGGGGAGACACAGGGAGACACGGGGAGACACGGGGAGAGACCAGGAGACATGGGAAGACACGGGGAGACACAGGGAGACATGGGGAGATACAGGGGGAGACACGGGGAGACACGGGGAGACATGGGGAGAGACACGGGGAGAGACCAGGAGACATGGGGAGACACGGGGAGACACAAGGAGACACGGGGAGACACGGGGAGACACGGGGAGATACAGGGGGAGACACGGAGAGAGACACGGGGAGAGACACAGGGGGAGACACAGGGGGAGACACGGGGAGAGACACGGGGAGACACGGGGAGACATGGGGAGAGACACGGGGAGATACGGGGAGACATGGGGAGAGACACGGGGAGAGACACGGGGAGATACAGGGGGAGACAGGGGGAGACACGGGGAGATACAGGGAGACACGGGGAGACACGGGGAGACACGGGGAGACATGGGAAGACACGGGGAGATACAGGGAGACACAGGGAGACACGGGGAGACACGGGGAGACATGGGAAGACACGGGGAGATACAGGGAGACATGGGGAGACACGGGGATACAGGGGGAGACATGGGGAGACACGGGGAGACATGGGGAGGGACAGGGGGAGAGACACGGGGAGAGACACGGGGAGATACAGCGGAAGAGACCAGGAGACACGGGGAGAAACAGGGAGATACAGGGAGACACGGGGAGATACAGGGAGACGTGGAGAGACACGGGGAGACATGGGGAGAGACACGGGGAGAGACACGGGGAGATACAGCGGGAGAGACCAGGAGACACGGGGAGAAACAGGGAGATACAGGGAGACACGGGGAGATACAGGGAGAGATGGGGAGACACGGGGAGATACAGGTGGAGACATGGGGAGACACAGGTGGAGACATGGGGAGACACGGGGAGAGACCAGGAGACATGGGGAGACACGGGGAGACACAAGGAGACACGGGGAGATACAGGGGGAGACACGGGGAGACACGGGGAGACACGGGGAGAGACACGGGGAGAGACACGGGGAGAGACACGGGGAGACACGGGGAGAGACACGGGGAGATACAGGGGGAGATACAGGGGGAGACACGGGGAGACACGGGGATACATGGGGAGAGACACGGGGAGAGACACGGGGAGAGACACGGGGACATACAGGGGGAGACAGGGGGAGACACGGGGAGACACGGGGAGACACGGGGAGATACAGGGAGACGTGGGGAGACGCGGGGAGACACGGGGAGAGACACGGGGAGAGACACGGCGAGATACAGGTGGAGACAGAGGGAGAGACCAGGAGACACGGGGAGAAACAGGGAGATACAGGGAGACACGGGGAGATACAGGGAGACATGGGGAGACATGGGGAGATACAGGGGGAGACACGGGGAGACACGGGGAGATACAGTGAGATACGGGGGGAGACGCCGTGAGACACGGGGAGACACTGAGACACACGGGGAGACACGGGGAGACTCAAGGAGAGAAGACACGGAGAGACACGGGGGGGAGGAGATGGGGGGGGGGGGGGGGAGGAGATACAGGGGGAGACATGGGGAGACACCAGGAGACACGGGGAGATACAGGGGGACACGGGGAGACATGGGGAGACATGGGGCGACACGGGGAGAGACACGGCGAGATACAGGGGGAGACATGGGGAGAGACACGGGGAGAGACACGGGGAGACACGTGGGGAGAGACACGGGCAGAGACACGGGGAGATACACGGGGAGAGACACGGGGAGAGACACGGGGTGAAACACGGGGAGAGACACGGGGAGACACGGGGAGATACACGGGGAGAGACACTGGGAGAGACACGGGGAGAGACACAGGGAGAGACACGGGGAGAGACACGTGGGGAGAGACACGGGGAGAGACACGTGGGGAGAGACACGGGGAGAGACACGTGGGGAGAGACACGGGGAGATACACGGGGGGAGAGACGGGGAGACACGGGGAGAGACACGGGGAGACACATGGGGAGAGACACGGGCAGAGACACGGGGAGACACGGGGAGAGACACGGGGAGAGACACGGGGGGAGAGACACGGGGGGAGAGACACGGGGAGAGACACGGGGAGAGACACGGGGAGAGACACGGGGAGAGACACGTGGGGAGAGACACGGGGAGATACACGGGGGGAGAGACGGGGAGACACGGGGAGAGACACGGGGAGAGACACGTGGGGAGAGACACGGGGAGAGACACGGGGAGACACGGGGATACATGGGGAGAGACACGGGGAGAGACACGGGGAGAGACACGCGGACATACAGGGGGAGACAGGGGGAGACACGGGGAGATACAGGGAGACACGGGGAGACACGGGGAGACACGGGGAGACACCAGGAGACACGGGGAGATACAGGGAGACGTGGGGAGACGCGGGGAGACACGGGGAGAGACACGGGGAGAGACACGGCGAGATACAGGTGGAGACAGGGGGAGAGACCAGGAGACACGGGGAGATACAGAGAGATACAGGGAGACACAGGGAGACATGGGGAGATACAGGGAGACACGGGGAGATACAGGGAGACATGGGGAGACACGGGGGATATAGGGAGAGAGATGGGGAGACACGGGGAGGTATGGGGAGAGACACAGGGAGAGACATGGGGAGATACAGCAGGAGAGACCAGGAGACACGGGGAGATACAGGGAGATACAGGGAGACACGGGGAGACACGGGGAGACACGGGGAGACATGGGGAAATACGGGGAGACACCAGGCGACACGGGGAGATACAGGGAGACGTGGAGAGACGCGGGGAGAGACACGGGGAGAGACACGGGGAGAGACATGGGGAGAGACCAGGAGACACGGGGAGAAACAGGGAGATACAGGGAGACACGGGGAGATACAGGGAGACATGGGGAGATACAGGGGGAGACACGGGGAGACACGGGGAGAGACACGGGGAGACACGTGGGGAGAGACACGGGCAGAGACACGGGGAGATACACGGGGAGATACACGGGGAGAGACACGGGGAGAGACACGGGGAGAGACACGGGGAGACACGGGGGGAGACACGGGGAGATACACGGGGAGAGACACTGGGAGAGACACGGGGAGAGACACGGGGAGAGACACGTGGGGAGAGACACGGGGAGAGACACATGGGGAGAGACACGGGGAGATACACGGGGGGAGAGACGGAGAGACACGGGGAGAGACACGGGGAGACACGTGGGGAGAGACCCGGGCAGAGACACGGGGAGACATGGGGAGAGACACGGGGAGAGACACGTGGGGAGAGACACGGGCAGAGACACGGGGAGACACGGGGAGAGACACGTGGGGAGAGACACGTGGGGAGAGACACGGGGAGAGACACGAGGAGAGACACGGGGAGACACGGGGAGACGCGGGGAGACACGGGGAGACGCGGGGAGACACGGGGAGAGACACGGGGAGAGACACGGCGAGATACAGGGGGAGACAGGGGGAGACACGGGGAGACGCGGGGAGACACGGGGAGACACGGGGAGACGCGGGGAGACACGGGGAGAGACACGGGGAGAGACACGGTGAGATACAGGGGGAGACAGGGGGAGACACGGGGAGACACGGGGAGACGCGGGGAGACACGGGGAGACACGGGGAGACGCGGGGAGACACGGGGAGAGACACGGGGAGAGACACGGCGAGATACAGGGGGAGACAGGGGGAGAGACCAGGAGACACGGGGGGGTGGGGGATTGTACCTGGTCAAAGTCGTGCACCATGAAGAAGATCTGTGGGTAGCTGAGCTCCATGGCCTGGCCCTTGCCGTCCATTCGCACACGGCTAGGGGAGGCGTACACAGCCTGACACACACACACAGACACACACAGATACACAGGGTGACACACACACACAGACACACACAGCCTGACACACACAGACACACAGGGTGACACACACACAGACAGATACACAGCCTGACACACACAGACACGCAGGGTGACACACACAGACACGCAGGGTGACACACACACAGACACACAGACACACACACACAGACACGTGGGGTGACACACACACAGACACACAGCCTGACACACACACAGACACGCAGGGTGATACACACACAGACACACAGGGTGACACACACAGACACGCAGACACACAGGCACACAGATACACACACACACAGCCTGACACACACACAGACACGCAGGGTGACACACACACACAGACACACACACACAGATACACAGCCTGACACGCACACAGACACGCGGGGTAACACACAACAACCGCCATTCGCCACTAAGTGGCGGTGATGTCACCACGACGCTTGTGCCAGGCTATGTGCACCCGGAGGCCATGTGAAGTGTCGAACGCCCGCTGGCAGGAGGTCACGGGGCAGACCCAGGTGCCATGGGTCGACTGACTGAGATGACTGGCTGATGCACCACCTGTGCCCCCTACTGTGCCAACCTGCTGTGCTTTAGCCACCCGGCGCTCCGCTCGTTGTTCTGAGCGTCGCTCCTCCGCCCTCCGTTGTTGTTGGAGGGCGACTGCCTCCAACTGCCCAGTAGCGTCCTTCACGAGCCTCCTCCACAGAGGCCGATCTTGACACCGCTGGTACCAGTCATCGGCAAGTCCACTCAGCTCCACGTCCTGTACCACATCACTCCATCTCTTCTCTAGCCCGTGCCGCGCCCGCTTAGCCCACTCGATCCGGCCGAACAAAAGCTGCTTCGGCATGCGGTGGCTGGGCATGCGGGCTACATGACCCAGCCATCGCAGCCTTGCCCGCCGGAGGAGCTCACCGATGGGACCTTGCCCAGATCTTTCAAGGATTTGTGAGCTCCTCACACAATCCAGCCTAGTTAAACCCAGGATGGATCGTAGGCAGGCCAGCCTAAATGTTTCTAACCGGCGAAGATGTTCCATTAGGGGGGTCCACGTTTCGCAAGCGTAGAGAAGGGAGGGAATGACCGTGGCCGAGAAGACCTGAAGCTTGGTGCGGAGCGACAGACCAGGTAGCTTCCACACAGTGTTACGCAACCGATGAAAAGATATTGCCGCTCGACTGATTCGGAGTGAGACCTCTGCTGTTAAACCGCAGCCAATCATAAGCACACTGCCCAGGTATGGGAAACTCTCCACTCTCTCCACAACTGCCCCATCACCGATGGGGCAGTTGTGGGGGGTGGAGTGTCCGATGGTACAAAATACCCAGGCAGGTGCTTAGTTTTGGTGGGGCTGATGGTAAGGCCCCACCCTCTTAGTGGCACGCTCCAGTCTCAGCGGCAGCGTCTCCAACTCCTCCTCTGAGTGAGCAGCAATTACCAGATGAGCGCGCGTGGTGAGCGTGCGTGGTGAGCGTGCGTGGTGAGCGTGCGTGGTGAGAGGGTGGTGAGCGTGCGTGGTGAGCGTGCGTGGTGAGCGGGTGGTGAGCGTGCGTGGTGAGCGGTACACCACTGACCTGCGCCACTCTGCGCCGCACCCTAGCGTGACCACTGCGCTCCGTGTGGGGGACACTCACGGCACAGGCGACCGTGTACTCAAACTAGCGGGGAGACACACAGAGAGACATCGCCCAGGAAGACTCCAGCAGGACACCGTTTAGTCAAACTAGCGGGGAGACACACAGAGACATCACCCAGGAAAACTCCGGCAGGCGACCGTGTACTCAAACTAGCGGGGAGACACACAGAGACATCACCCAGGAAGACTCCGGCAGGCGACCGTGTACTCAAACTAGCGGGGAGACACACAGAGAGACATCACCCAGGGAGACTCCGGCAGGACACCGTTTAGTCAAACAGGCGGGGAGACACAGAGAGACATCACCCAGGTAGACTCCAGCAGGACACCGTTTAGTCAAACAGGCGGGGAGACACACACAGAGAGACATCACCCAGGAAGACTCCGGCAGGCCACCGTTTAGTCAAACTAGCGGGGAGACACACAGAGACATCGCCCAGGAAGACTCCGGCAGGACACCGTTTAGTCAAACAGGCGGGGAGACACACAGAGACATCACCCAGGAAGACTCCAGCAGGACACCGTTTAGTCAAACTAGCGGGGAGACACACAGAGACATCACCCAGGTAGACTCCAGCAGGCCACCGTTTAGTCAAACAGGCGGGGAGACACACAGAGACATCACCCAGTTAGACTCCAGCAGGCCACCGTTTAGTCAAACAGGCGGGGAGACACACAGAGACATCGCCCAGGTAGACTCCAGCAGGACACCGTTTAGTCAAACTAGCGGGGAGACACACAGAGACATCACCCAGGAAGACTCCAGCAGGACACCGTTTAGTCAAACAGGCGGGGAGACACACAGAGACATCGCCCAGGTAGACTCCGGCAGGCCACCGTTTAGTCAAACAGGCGGGGAGACACACAGAGACATCGCCCAGGGAGACTCCAGCAGGACACCGTTTAGTCAAACTAGCGGGGAGACACACAGAGACATCGCCCAGGAAGACTCCGGCAGGCCACCGTTTAGTCAAACAGGCGGGGAGACACACAGAGACATCACCCAGGAAGACTCCAGCAGGACACCGTTTAGTCAAACTAGCGGGGAGACACACAGAGACATCACCCAGGGAGACTCCGGCAGGACACCGTTTAGTCAAACTAGCGGGGAGACACACAGAGACATCGCCCAGGAAGACTCCGGCAGGCCACCGTTTAGTCAAACAGGCGGGGAGACACACAGAGACATCACCCAGGAAGACTCCAGCAGGACACCGTTTAGTCAAACAGGCGGGGAGACACACAGAGACATCACCCAGTTAGACTCCGGCAGGCCACCGTTTAGTCAAACTAGCGGGGAGACACACACAGAGAGACATCACCCAGTTAGACTCCGGCAGGACACCGTTTAGTCAAACTAGCGGGGAGACACACAGAGACATCACCCAGGGAGACTCCAGCAGGCCACCGTTTAGTCAAACTAGCGGGGAGACACACAGAGACATCGCCCAGGAAGACTCCGGCAGGCCACCGTTTAGTCAAACTAGCGGGGAGACACACAGAGACATCGCCCAGGAAGACTCCGGTAGGCCACCGTTTAGTCAAACAGGCGGGGAGACACACAGAGACATCACCCAGGTAGACTCCAGCAGGACACCGTTTAGTCAAACTAGCGGGGAGACACACAGAGACATCACCCAGGAAGACTCCGGCAGGACACCGTTTAGTCAAACTAGCGGGGAGACACACAGAGACATCACCCAGGGAGACTCCAGCAGGCCACCGTTTAGTCAAACAGGCGGGGAGACACACAGAGACATCACCCAGGTAGACTCCAGCAGGACACCGTTTAGTCAAACTAGCGGGGAGACACACAGAGACATCACCCAGGAAGACTCCGGCAGGACACCGTTTAGTCAAACAGGCGGGGAGACACACAGAGACATCACCCAGGGAGACTCCAGCAGGACACCGTTTAGTCAAACTAGCGGGGAGACACACAGAGACATCACCCAGGAAGACTCCGGCAGGCCACCGTTTAGTCAAACTAGCGGGGAGACACACAGAGACATCACCCAGGGAGACTCTGGCAGGCCACCGTTTAGTCAAACTAGCGGGGAGACACACAGAGACATCACCCAGGGAGACTCCAGCAGGACACCGTTTAGTCAAACTAGCGGGGAGACACACAGAGACATCACCCAGGGAGACTCCAGCAGGACACCGTTTAGTCAAACTAGTGGGGAGACACACAGAGACATCACCCAGGGAGACTCCGGCAGGCCACCGTTTAGTCAAACAGGCGGGGAGACACACAGAGACATCACCCAGTTAGACTCCGGCAGGCCACCGTTTAGTCAAACTAGCGGGGAGACACACAGAGACATCGCCCAGGGAGACTCCAGCAGGACATCGTTTAGTCAAACAGGCGGGGAGACACACAGAGACATCACCCAGGAAGACTCCGGCAGGACACCGTTTAGTCAAACTAGCGGGGAGACACACAGAGACATCGCCCAGGGAGACTCCAGCAGGACATCGTTTACTCAAACAGGCGGGGAGACACACAGAGACATCACCCAGGAAGACTCCAGCAGGACACCGTTTAGTCAAACTAGCGGGGAGACACACAGAGACATCACCCAGGAAGACTCCAGCAGGACACCGTTTAGTCAAACTAGCGGGGAGACACACAGAGACATCGCCCAGTTAGACTCCAGCAGGCCACCGTTTAGTCAAACTAGCGGGGAGACACACAGAGACATCACCCAGGGAGACTCCGGCAGGACACCGTTTAGTCAAACAGGCGGGGAGACACACAGAGACATCACCCAGGGAGACTCCGGCAGGCCACCGTTTAGTCAAACAGGCGGGGAGACACACAGAGACATCACCCAGGAAGACTCCAGCAGGACACCGTTTAGTCAAACAGGCGGGGAGACACACAGAGACATCACCCAGTTAGACTCCGGCTGGCCACCGTCTACTCAAACTAGCGGGGAGACACACAGAGACATCACCCAGGTAGACTCCGGCAGGACACCGTTTAGTCAAACTAGCAGGGAGACACACAGAGACATCACCCAGGAAGACTCCGGCAGGACACCGTTTAGTCAAACTAGCAGGGAGACACACAGAAAACATCACCCAGTTAGACTCCAGCAGGACACCGTTTAGTCAAACTAGCGGGGAGACACACAGAGACATCACCCAGCTAGACTCCAGCAGGCCACCGTTTAGTCAAACTAGCGGGGAGACACACAGAGACATCGCCCAGGGAGACTCCAGCAGGACACCGTGTAGTCAAACAGGCGGGGAGACACACAGAGACATCACCCAGCAAGACTCCGGCAGGCCACCGTTTAGTCAAACTAGCGGGGAGACACACAGAGACATCACCCAGGAAGATTCCAGCAGGCCACCTTTTAGTCAAACAGGCGGGGAGACACACAGAGACATCACCCAGGAAGACTCCAGCAGGCCACCGTTTAGTCAAACTAGCGGGGAGACACACAGAGACATCACCCAGGTAGACTCCGGCAGGCCACCGTTTAGTCAAACTAGCGGGGAGACACACAGAGACATCACCCAGGAAGACTCCGGCAGGACACCGTTTAGTCAAACTAGCGGGGAGACACACAGAGACATTACCCAGCTAGACTCCGGCAGGCCACCGTTTAGTCAAACTAGCGGGGAGACACACAGAGAGACATCACCCAGGAAGACTCCAGCAGGACACCGTTTAGTCAAACAGGCGGGGAGACACACAGAGACATTACCCAGCTAGACTCCGGCAGGACACCGTTTAGTCAAACTAGCGGGGAGACACACAGAGACATCACCCAGGAAGACTCCAGCAGGACACCGTTTAGTCAAACTAGCGGGGAGACACACAGAGACATCACCCAGGTAGACTCCGGCAGGACACCGTTTAGTCAAACTAGCGGGGAGACACACAGAGACATCACCCAGGAAGACTCCGGCAGGCCACCGTTTAGTCAAACTAGCGGGGAGACACACAGAGACATCACCCAGGAAGACTCCAGCAGGCCACCGTTTAGTCAAACTAGCGGGGAGACACACAGAGACATCACCCAGGTAGACTCCGGCAGGCCACCGTTTAGTCAAACTAGCGGGGAGACACACAGAGACATCACCCAGGGAGACTCCAGCAGGCCACCGTTTAGTCAAACTAGCGGGGAGACACACAGAGACATCACCCAGGAAGACTCCGGCAGGACACCGTTTAGTCAAACAGGCGGGGAGACACACAGAGACATCACCCAGGTAGACTCCAGCAGGACACCGTTTAGTCAAACTAGCGGGGAGACACACAGAGACATCACCCAGGGAGACTCCGGCAGGACACCGTTTAGTCAAACTAGCGGGGAGACACACAGAGACATCACCCAGGTAGACTCCAGCAGGCCACCGTTTAGTCAAACTAGCGGGGAGACACACAGAGACATCGCCCAGGTAGACTCCAGCAGGCCACCGTTTAGTCAAACTAGCGGGGAGACACACAGAGACATCACCCAGGAAGACTCCAGCAGGCCACCGTTTAGTCAAACTAGCGGGGAGACACACAGAGACATCACCCAGGAAGACTCCAGCAGGCCACCGTTTAGTCAAACTAGCGGGGAGACACACAGAGACATCGCCCAGGAAGACTCCGGCAGGACACCGTTTAGTCAAACTAGCGGGGAGACACACAGAGACATCACCCAGGAAGACTCCGGCAGGACACCGTTTAGTCAAACAGGCGGGGAGACACACAGAGACATCGCCCAGGAAGACTCCGGCAGGACACCGTTTAGTCAAACAGGCGGGGAGACACACAGAGACATCGCCCAGGAAGACTCCGGCAGGCCACTGTTTAGTCAAACTAGCGGGGAGACACACAGAGACATCGCCCAGGAAGACTCCAGCAGGACACCGTTTAGTCAAACTAGCGGGGAGACACACAGAGACATCGCCCAGGGAGACTCCGGCTGGACACCGTTTAGTCAAACTAGCGGGGAGACACACAGAGACATCACCCAGGGAGACTCCAGCAGGCCACCGTTTAGTCAAACTAGCGGG